ACATGAACAATCTCATTATTATGCATAGAATTAATAGATTAGAAAATGCATTTTATAGAAATGTTCCAAAGTTATCAAAATAATGAATGCATTTACGCTAGCTAGAACCCAAACACATAAATGGCAAAACAGTATCATTTGTTCCGCTCGTTAACTCACTAGATTAGAATAATGTCATTTCTAAATTCTATATTGCTGTCTATTTTTGTAATGTCTCTGTGAGAAAGCTGAATATAGGTTGTGAAGCATAGATCGTAAAACAAATTTTGTTATAAATCTAAATCCTGCCAATTTCAAATCTTCTCAAATATGAATTATACAAAAATAATTTATTGCAATCTGCCCAAAAATGTATTAGGACTGACTTACAAAATAGGGGAAATATTAAACAAAATGTTTAATAACAATAATATTATGATACTGATAGTGGAATAATAATTTTTAGATTGGCCTGATTATATAAAAGAAAAAAATTGCATTGAAATATTGGAGACATAACACATTCAAGTGCACCACTAGTGCTAGCTACATCATCAGTGAGTAATAATTAATGCTTTACTAAAGGTATACTCTTGTACATGTGTTACCATTTTTTAGTTTTTGCTGCAATTTGTATTCTAAATTTGGATATTTTAAAAGAAAAATACTGTTATGGATTGAAAACTGTGAGGCATCTCTATAAAAAAACAGTCCATTGCATTTTGATACAATTAAAGCTTTTTGTAGACCATCCCTAACTAAGCCTAATGAATATTCATTAAAGCTGAGTCATAGTCAAGTCGTGTGTCTATCTGTTTAGAAAACTTAGTCTTTTCTTCATGTTTAAGAAGAGACTTTTTATACCTTGTTTTGCACACTTATTTTTTTTTTAAAGGTTGTCAGAGGAGGGCAGTAAAAAAAATTAAAATAAAATTTTTTTTTATTACTTAAATATTTTTGCCAGAAACATCCAGGCGGAGAAGAAAATAAAATTTTTATTGGTGAATGTAAACAGTGTAGTAATGAGATGGTTAAATGCTTTAAATTTATATAATTAGGAAGAAATATACATCTTATTTTTTGAGATATCAAGGCAGCGGTGGGTGTGCTAAAAATAAAGAAAATCTGTCATTTTTTTCTGAAATTTCCATTTTTTCGTGGTGGCGTGCATATTCAAAATCATCGCTATTGGGAGCGGTGGGTTCACTAAACAAGTTACAAAAAAAGTCTCGCCTAATTCAGAATAATTTATAGTGTGAGGACAAAGGTCATGTTATCTATGTATTTGAAGTTGATTAAGGGTTGATTGTCCCAAGTTCATATTGTATTTTATCAAAAATATAAAATTTATTATATCATGCATAATTTACATAAGGTTATGTATTTTTCAGTTTCACTGGAAGTGTTCATTAGCAACCAAGATATAATATATTTAATCCATTTCATTTTCTTATTAGCATACTTAGACATTTTTTATTTAATTATTTTAGTACTATAGGAAGTAGAAAATGATCAGTACCCCAGTTTAATTACATTACTATTATGAGATCACATTAAAAAGAATGTAGACCTATTCCTATCAAAAAATATTTGATCATTTATAATAATTGCAAAGAAACCTTTGAACACTATAAACTATTCTATAGCAATACAATGAAAGGCATTAAATTTTGAATAGGACATAAGAATACCATTTGTTAGAGCTGAAAATGTGGAATAACCAGAACAGAATTTTATCACAGCCATTGTTGATCTCAATGGGTAGATACTGTAAAGATATACTAAATAAATCTTTGGATGTTTATCTAGATATTACTGCACTGTATTCCATTCATCACCTTTCCAAAAATATATATCTCTTGTAATCCACTACACTGTAATAAACTTGAAACTACTGTAGATAAAAGGTTTTATCTAGATTAGGTGAAGATTATTATTATGTAGGAGGTCTTGTATTAAGGCAGTGTTTTGTCAGTAAAACAAGTAATTTTCCACTGAAATTACACTTAGCGTCCATAGCGCTCCGTGTTCAATATTCTTTTAATTATGAAAAATGAGATTCATCAAAAAACGTTGAGAACAGATCCACCATGACAAGTGTATTTAATCCTTTCTAAATACTTGTATCTTTTTGAAGTAATCCCATGCTAATAGCCATTAATTTAACAGTAGTCTAAAGAAGACATCAGCTTTATTCTTAATAAAATATGGTATACTTCATTTTAAAATAGTGTTTGTGTTCATTTGAAATTGATGCTGAACCCTGCCAGCATCATTCTGGAAGAAAGATTACTGTAATTTATGTTGTGTTATAATTATGTTGTGGTGTAATTATAGACGTAGTGACCCTTTACACTGGCGTAAAGCTCGCAATATATTTCTTCTCAGTTCCAGGATAACTGTGAAAATTGATTAAATCTAAGGTGTGGGTTAGATTGGTGAAGGCATAAACAGCTCCATTAATAATATTGTGTTGTATCACAGAATGTGTAGAGTGAATGGCCTGTTAGGCTAGGTTGAGTAAATTTAATTATCATCCGTAGATATGACTGCAGTTATCTATTGCGTATGAATGCATAATCTAATTAGATTTTCCTAAAAGATAAACCATAATGTAAGCATACTGTGATATTATATTTTATATTGCATATTACTAGCATGTACTGACAAAAAATTATTTTTAACTCTATCAGTAATACCAACATGCATTTGTAAGTTTACATCTCTGTAAAATTATCAACTAACATAATAATAAAAATATTTGTGTATTCAAGTAGTTGAGTGGGTAGATTTAGTTCAATCACTTTTACACTGAGTAGCAGTTTATGCAAAAGTTATGCCTTAAAAGGTCATGTCAGATATGTTTTAAAGTACACGATTTGACTTGATAATTACTCTGCAAAATATTAATATTTGTATCCAGCCTTTTCTGAGATGTGCCCAGATAGCTTAAGCAGATGTTGTGATTTTCACAAGGTGTGGTACATCTATGAGAGGTTGTGCATACTGTACAGTACTTTCACTTAAAATGCACCTTAAAAATCTTTAGCCAATTTATGATAATGATGTGTTTGTAATTATTTTGACAAGATGATGATGATAATGACATATATTGGGTAAGATGTTGAAAATAGTTGTGATAATAATAATGTTAATTATTGTAATATTAACAATGAGAGATAGTTCTGAAGAGTGGTGTCAGTTTCTGTTTATAATGTCAGTCAAATAATATTCATATATTAATATGATGCAGATAACGTAATTGCTGTCGTGAGGTATAATAATGATATAACACCATAGGGACGTAAGAACTATTGTGGATACAACAGCTTCATCAGTGTAATTAACAACTATGCACATTTGATTATTATAACTTACGGCTTGCACTTAGTCTTAGGCGTCTAGCTTATTACACATCAATTATGATCGCGAGTCCCTGGGGACACAAATCCCCAAATTGCATATCTTGCTATTAATAGTTGCAAGGGGCTAGAGGTAGGTAGTTTCAATCAAGGAGTATAATTTTGACGTTTAGAACTGTGTGTCGCAGCGGTAGGCTACAGCTTCCTAACCAAATGGTCATTGGTTCATGTCCGATGCTGGTCACTCTCTACTGAATACATTGAATTAAAAGAGCATATTTAAAATTATCATTTAATTTATCGTTTTTGATTTAGCATAACTTTATTTTTATTCTCTATACTATAAACATTGTAGAATAATGTGAATGAACTTGAAGATGAGAGCCTCTTTGTGGTGGCTAGGTAGTCACGGACAGTCAATATTCAATTCAGCATAATAATGCTGCCAATTTACTGTATGGGTTTGTTTTCCTACCTTTACCTATATTCTACAAGGTTCTCCCAGCTTGTAAAATAACAATAACAGTAACAATTTAGCATAATGAAAGATAGGCCACATAATGCATAGTATATATCTCATTACTCTTGCATTTATATTTACCATTTAAAGGAGATCAGCTCCATTAATTTTCACTTGTAATTTAAACATTTTGAATATTTTTGTAGGGGTTTTGTATAGGCACTCAATTTATCATTCCTGTTTATTGTCCACACATCAGTGCGCTTGTGTCAAATATTATATTTGTCTTGTGCGAAATGGATGAGAAAGGTTTATGAGGGAGCTGGTGATACAGTACAGTGATATGAAACATGGCTATATACATTTACGTAATGGCCCATTTATATTTTATTAGGTATTTTTTCTTATCTAGTCAAATCTGCTGGTATACTGTATATGTTGCATGAATAAATGACAATATTGTATTTGAAAAATTATGCTATGTACTTTTAGGCTGTGATTCAAAGGGGTTTTTTTGTTCTCATTTCTAATACAAAGACTATATACACAAAGTTACATAGTATTTCTTGTTAATTTTATGATATTTAAAGTCCTTAACATATGAGTTAGTATTTATTCGAAGCTAACACTTAATGTCCTCAATCATCCTTTTCATCCAGCCTGTAAGCTTGATTATGTACAAAAGATTAGCATTAAAAATACACCTAAGACAAAAGAAGTGGGAATTAAATTATAAACATAATACTGGTATTACTGTAGTTTCTCGTGTATAGGCCCAACTCCTACTTTATGTCTACTTTCAATTTAACATGAATCATTAAAAGAAATTATCTTAGTTATTATAATTTTCAATAACAATATTTTAATTTGAAATATAATTCACTTAAGAAATACATGTTACCAACTCTTTATACTACTCTTACCATTTTTTTTTTGTTCTTTTAAATAAATTTTTCACTTTAAGAGGTTTCAGAGTCACTTGATAGTTGATTCAGTTCACTTCTTGATAATCCCGTCTATCTCCTAAAGTATTTGGTTTGTGTCAGAAATGAAATAAATGAAATTAATTAAATTAAATGAAGGTAAGTTTTTGATGTCATGTAAATTTTCAGATTCATTTTGTAAACAAAGAAAACTATTTTTTAATACATTTTGTTAATGAAAATATTCTAAATCCAATCTTTCCTACTATTTTACAGCCGAAACCAACAAAAGGCAAGATGAGGATCCATTGCTTAGAAAACACAGAGAAGGCTCTGAAATTTCTGAAGGACAAGAGAGTACATCTGGAGAACATGGGGTCACATGACATCACCGATGGCAACCATCGACTCACTCTTGGTCTAATTTGGACAATCATTCTTAGATTTCAGGTGAGGTTACTGTACACAATCTTCGTGTCAAGGAACAAATGAAATTTTCTTTATATTCATTATATTTGGTCAATACAAAAAAAAATTGTGTGTAAAGACACATCAAATAATAAAACTTCAGGCCAAATTTAAGTAAAATACTTGGCAGTTAAATAAATTGTCTTTATAGCAAAATGGTGAATGTAATCAAAACAATTTTGTTTGTATAGTTTTTAATGGATATTAAATGAGATATTAACCAATATCATTCATATAGATTTAATAAATATACATGCATGAGCTGTGGCGTTATTCTTAATTTGAGAGAAATTAAAAGCTTAAAGTCATACAGTTTAATTTGTTTAAATATTCATAATTTTTTCATAATTCGAGACTTTTTTTATTCCTTGTCTTGCATACTTACTTTTTTAAAGATCATCGGAGGAGGGCGGAATAAAAATAAAATTTTGTTTTCTGATTCAGCAAATAGTTTTGCCAAAAACGTTCAGACGGAGGAGAAATTAAAAATTTAATTTTATTGGTGAATGTAAAATAGGCTGGTTAAATGCTTCAAATTTATATAGTTAGGAAAAAATATGAATGTATTATCTTTGGAGATTTCAAGGCAGCGGAGGATGTAATAAAAATAATAACAACTATTATTTTTTTTCTGAAATTTTCACTCTTTCATGGCAGTGGGTGCACTAATTGGCCAAAAATGAAATTTCATTTTTATTTGAAATCATCAATATTTGTAGTCGCCAGGTTCGCTAAACAAGGTAAAAAAAAATTCTCGCCTAAAGGTGAAAACATTGAACTTAAGGAAATAAACTTTGAAAACATTATAAGATATTCTAGCTAAAACATTTGTTCTGTTTCAAAATACCCTTTTAAACATTTTGATAAAATATATTACCGTATGCTAAATTATTTTTTCTGTTTCAAAAGATCCAAGATATTACCATTGAGGATGATGAGAGCGATGAAAAGCGTTCAGCAAAGGACGCCCTCTTGCTGTGGTGTCAGATGAAAACAGCCGGTTACAAAAATGTGAACGTTCGAAACTTCACAAACAGCTGGCGGGATGGTCTTGCGTTCAATGCCCTCATCCACAAGCACAGACCAGACCTCATCGAGTACAATAAATTGCAGAAGAGCCAGCCAGTGCACAACTTGAACAATGCTTTCAATACAGCTGAACAGAAACTTGGTCTTGTGAAACTCCTTGATACAGAAGGTAAATTTGGTTTCCATGTTTGTAGTTTTACAGAGCATGTAAGTGTAAAGGTAGGCGTAGAATAACAGATTAGGATTTACCCAAATTGTGATCTTTGAATTTACACAAGCAACCTTCCTGTACTCAAATTGGTAAGTAGGATATTCATGGTATCCAAAAAGTGCTCATATACATCCATCTATTCTGGTTAAAGATCCAGAATTCTTCATCTTGGTGGCAGCAAACTATACATACACCTCAGGAGATTAGCACCACAGACATCTAAAATCTGTAATTTTTTATTTTCCAGATATAAACATCGACCACCCAGACGAGAAGTCCATCATGACATACGTGGTGACATACTATCACTACTTTTCGAAAATGAAGACTGAGACCGTCATGGGTAAGCGTATCACGAACGTGATGACATCTGTGCGCGAGAACGACAAACTTGTCAAGGAGTACGAGAAGCTCACGTCAGATCTGTTGCGATGGATAGAGCAGACTGTTCAAGTTTTGGGAGATAGAACATTTGCCAATTCACTGACTGGTGTACAACAGCAACTATTTGCCTTCAACACATACAGAACAGTGGAGAAACCACCAAAGTAAGTTTGGGTGTATTCCATAGAGAATTGAACATGTTCATTCCATTTGGCTGTGGTGAAAATCAAAATCTCTTTAATTTTTCATGATTCTATTTCTCCTTAATTTTCAGGTTTATGGAAAAGGGTAATTTAGAGGTACTTCTTTTTACAATACAAAGTAAGATGAGGGCTAACAACCAGAAGCCATACTTGCCAAAAGAAGGAAAACTCATCTCAGATATTAACAAGGTATGGATATATTGTTCCCTGGTGTAAGCCCACCACATAGCTTTAGGTTAAATTTTATGCAAAGTGCTCAATTTCATGATTAACACGTTGACTGCTAGACCTTATTTTTAGGTTCCTTCTTGTGTGCCAACAAGTTTACATGTACATGGCGAGATAAAATTAGGGGATGAGGAAACTCATCGTTGGGTACTGTGACATCACTTTTTATTGCCAAGTGCGAGTTTTCTTGTCCACTTTTTGCAATTGAGTGTACTGCCGGTAACATAACACAAACATACATACGTTATTGGTACATTATCGTCTAGGTGTATTTTCCTGTTAAGTCTGTGGTTCTGCACTGTATAACAAAAAAGTAATAAATGCTAGGATGTTACCCTGATTTTGACAAGTATAATCGACCATAGCTCCCTCAGCAATACCCTGTGGGACATGTATACTCGTCTCTGGCAGTGAACGTGTTAAGGAGATGAGCTTCAATTAGAGGAACTAGGGTAGTTAATATAAATGTGTTTGATGCATGTTTCAAATATATTTTTTGTAATCTCTTTACATAGTGATAACAGTAATCTTAACGAGGTTCAGAAATTGAGACAAGATGTCACTTCCTAAACCATCTTGAGAGCTTTTTGAAAGCTCATCATCTTAAATTTAAAAGGTAGATTATCTCAAGTGGCTAAGAATCTCTCATTTTTTAGGCTTGGGAACGACTAGAACGAGCAGAACATGAACGTGAGTTGGCACTTCGCCAAGAGCTTATCCGTCAGGAAAAACTAGAGCAATTGGCGGCACGCTTTAACCGCAAGGCTGCAATGCGTGAAAGCTGGCTGGGTGAGAACCAGCGCCTGGTGACCCAAGACAACTTTGGTTATGATCTGCCGGCGGTTGAAGCTGCTGCAAAGAAGCACGAGGCTATTGAGACGGACATCAACGCATACGAGGAAAGAGTTCTGACTGTCGTTGCTGTGGCTGAGGAGTTGGAATCTGAAAACTACCATGATATAGAAAGAATTAATGCTAGGTTAGTAATTAGTAGATGACAAATATTTACTGATTGATTGGTGGTTGGTTGGTTGATTGATTAACTAATTGTAGAAGTACACAGATCACATGCAGTTTCCTGAGCAGCAATAAATTAATATTTATAAAAATAAATAAAAATAATTGTTTGCATCATTATTTTGAGCAAGTCTCAGCTTGTATTTAAAATAAAATTGAATAATTCATTCCTCTGACTACATTTGTACTAAGAAGTTCTTTTCATGTATGTTTAAAAAAAAAATTTCAAATAATTATTGAACAACAATTTTTGCAGGAAAGAAAATGTGCTACGTCTATGGGCCTATTTACTTGAGCTGCTCAAGAGTCGCCGCTCACGACTTGACTACTCACTGGAAATCCAGAAGATTTTCCAGGAGATGGAGCTCCTCTTGGATTCAATGGAAGAAACCAAAGGACAGCTGTTGTCAGAGGATTACGGTCGTCATTTAATGGACGTAGAGGACCTTCTAGAGAAACATGCCCTTCTTGAAGCAGATGTTTCTGCCTATGGTGAACGAGTTAACGCGGTTAACCAGCAGGCAGACAGGTTTGTGGATGAGAATGGTGTTGACGGAACAGGTTAGTTTTACTCTTTTTTTTTTTTGCATTTTATTCTGTTGTTTGCTGATAATTAGGTTGCAGCTCTTATGGCTACTGCAGCATTTGCAGCTATTGTTGCTGTTGCCTTTTAGTACTGATTTCTTTATCTTGGGTTTTACAAATATTATTGATTAATCAAACTTGGCAAAATATAAGTTGATTTAAAAAATCCGGCCTGTAGCTTATGTTAGGGATAACAGTTTATAAGTAGTTGGCATCCACATGTGCCTGGAAATTTTAAAGAAGAAACAGAAATAAGCAGTTAACTTTTGGCCAATATCTGATAATGGATTTTATTAAAGTCTTTTGAATGTATTTTGTGATCTAGTAGCAGATTTTATTTCCGTAATCATCTTATTTTATCCTATACTAGGCTATACTCCTGTTGATCCAATGATTGTAAAGGAACGTATTGCAAACCTTGAGGAGAGCTACCAGGAGCTGCAGAATGTGGCACACACCCGCAAGGACAACTTGAAGGAATCTTGCAAGCTGTGGAAATTCTTCTGGGATCTTGCGGATGATGAGAACTGGATAAAAGAAATGGCACAGGTGCTATCATCCCCAGACATTGGCCGCGATCTAACCAGTGTCAACTTGCTCCTCAATAAACACAAGGTATGGTACTGAAATAAAGTAAATAGGAGTAGACGGAGATAAATTGTGGCATATATAGTAAAGATGTGGTTCTTAAATTCTGTTCATTTCTTAATAAATTAATATTTCTCAATGTGTTAGGCCTTGGAACAAGAAATATCAGGCCGTCAGACCCAGCTTGAAGGTAACATGAAGGCAGGGGAGGACCTGATTAACGAGGGACATCGTGATGCTGAGAAGATCCAGGCACGCAACGCTGATGTCCAAGAGAACTGGAACAAACTTGGCGAGCTGAGCCAACAGAGAAAGAATCGTCTAAACGAAGCCACAGACATGTACCAGGTGAAAAGAGAAACTTTAGCTTGGATGTAACTTCACCTTGATTCCCAATTTTAATGTTCTACCTATGTGAATTAACTAAATTACTTGTTAAACTTCTCTCCCTGTGTTCCATCCAGAAAATCAAGATTCTCAAGTTGCTCCGTGTTTTGTTTCTTAAAAATATTAAGGACACTAAACATTTCATTGCAAGGTTGAAACATTTAAAATACTGACATATTTTGTCAGGCTAATATATAATAATAGTTCAAATATTTGGAGATAGGTTGAAAGCCAAAACACTATAGTGTGCTTATTGATTGAGATTAGCCATTTTTGTTGTGTATAAATATAGGTTTATTGAGAACTTCTACATCACAGTGTGGATTGTTTATTGATCATTAATTCACCACAATTTGAAAATATTGACATCTGTACTGAAAATGGTGGTTTTAATTTTCTATTTCTATTTATAGTTCTTTGCAGATGCAGATGATGTTGATATTTGGATGCTGGATACTCTGCGACTTGTATCAAGCGAGGATGTCGGACACGACCAAGCCAGCACCGAGTCCCTCATCAAGAAACACAAGGTAAAACACCAATCTATACACAGGGTGAAAATACTATTGTCGGTGAAGCACCAACACCGCCACATAAACCGGTAGCCCACATAAACCCGACAAAGCCACTTGCACCAACACATCTACATAATAATAATACACCAACACACCCATATATAACCAACTTCCCGTGCATACACCAATATTGCCTCATACTGTTCGCTGACACATCAACATATTGACACACCCACATACCGGCATTGGCACACCACGCACACCCTACATGCTCTGAACACGTATACAAACACACACACATATATACACTCATACACAAATATTATGAGACACAACAATATATACTGAAATGTCAATATATGGACATAAATGCACAATTTCTGCCACCTGCATATATAATATAGAAATTACATAAATATGTAAGAATGTACATAATGTAGTTGCTATGATATTTCTACCATGCATGAATTTAATTTAAGCATTTCATAATGTTGAATATATTCAAGATTGCTTTCACCGAAGATTGTTCATAGTTTCATTGTATAGTGTAATATTTGTCCAGTAAACTGTTTGTACTGTGTATTGCTTGTAGAATAGGATGTAGTCCCTAGTGTGTGGGATTAGCTAGCATGCATATTCATTTAGAGCTTGTTATGGTCATCGTCTATTCGTGAGTTTAACTTCCTGTTTCTATGTATCATAATAAGATGAGGAGAACATATAAGGAGAGGTACACTTATAATTATTATAATAATTACTAATAATAATAATAGTAACCAAAATAATATAAAATTATTATGGTTGATGCAGAGGCTATTATAATGAATGCGCTGCTAATATATATATATATATACACCAATATAATATTGAATTAATTTTGAGCAAGTTTTAAACTATTTATTGATATATGAAATAAAAAACATTGACAAAATTGTTGTTTGATAGATTAATTGGTACATAAATTATGGGATTAATAAATCATCAATTTGATTCATTTATTTATTAAAGTGACTTGTTGATTAAGATGCTTGCCTTCCAATCCCAAGGTTGTGGGTCCAAATCCAGTGCCATATCTGGATTTCATCTTAACTAAAACTGGGCACACAGTGCTTTGTACGACTGTCGGCCAAAGATTCCATCTCCCCTCCCTTTAAGAGCATGATGATGACGTGCAGCCGTATGCTGATGTTGGTAGCCGAATAGATCGTCATTAAAACAATACATTGCACCAGCCTTGTCGCATTCTGCTCCGTGAAATTTTATTGGTTATGCCTGCCCACCTTAAAACCACTCATTCTCCCAAGCTTAATGAAGAGCATAATTTCCCACCTATATATGTGTATTAGAACATTTTTTAATAAAATATAATTAATCTAATTTTCACTACAACAGCCACATATTTCAATGTTTATTAGATTTTAGCTACTTCACTTTTTTTTATTATATTTGTGTGAAGGAGCTAAATGATTTAGCTTTGTACCAATGTTGAGGAATATAAAGTCGGTGGCAGGTTTGAATAACATTCACTGTGTGATTGATGTGTATACATATATGCTTATAATATGTATACTTTATATTCGTAGTTTTAACCTAGTTCCCATTCCAGCACTGTGTGTTGCATGTTCCTTATTAAATTTGTATGTATTGTTGCTCGCTTTTCCCACATTCTAGGAATTCCTAAACATAGAGGACTTAGAAGACGAAGTGAGTTAAAAAAGAATTAATATGTCACTGTTTCTTGTTTACTAACTGCACATAACTGCACTTTTGACGTTACTTGGGTTACATTTCATCACAAATGCATGGAATTTATTCACACAGATGTTTTACTGAAACAGCTTTGCAATATAAAATGCTTTTATTGGAACAATTTACAATAATTTCAACTTTCGAGCAGCATAATATATATTATTTTGGCTAAATTGAGCTATTAAAAGCAGTAAACTAATTCTCATTCTCTTCTTGATATTAAAGTGATATTTCCTCAGAGTGGTCGTTGCGTGATGCAATATTATGCGAGAGTTAATTATATGCGCATGGCTTGTTTATAGATCATTGCAGCTGATGTTCTTGATTAAAATTTTAATTAGATATGGGACAGTGGGACCTGTTTTCCATATAAAGTTGGTTTGTTATTCTGATTGATATATTGTTTACACCTACTTATTTTTATAAGAAAAAAATAATTTTCTATTTTCCATTGTTTCACATGAAAGAAATACTGTATTTTATGGAATCAAATATAGTTAAAACTAATTATCAAACTAAGTAATAATCCATGTGGCATATTGTAAAACATAATGTGTCGTAAAATGTAGTAGTACAATTTAATTAGCAATTCTCAGTTACTAGCTTAATAATTTGAAATGATAATTAATCAAAACTATATTAAAATCATGGGCATTGTAGAAGTTGAATTTTCATATTTAAATTTTGTAATGTTTTTAATAAATGTTTTTATTGTTGAAATTTATAAAAAATTTATTCGTAATTCCCCATTTTCATCACATCATGTTTTTCTGATTTCTTTATAGTTTTACAAATTTATACATTTTAAACATTCAAAAGGCCATTTTATTGTTCTTCATTATTGTTGTCATGGAAATATACAACATATCAAATTTTCAAAAGTAACTAAAATTTTTTAAATAATGATGAATCTTATACATTGTTCCCTCCTTGTTTTATATGTGTCCATTGCAATAACTTTTACCAGAAAAAGATGGTTTATTCTTAACTTGCATCATTCATGTCTTCCATGATCAAAATCATACAAATTACTTCAAAAAATCAACTAATTCTCTCATTCATTGGCTATTTATTTTGTTGATATATGTCATAACCATGATTAAAAATATACCAATTACTCCAAAAATGAATTTTCTCATCCATTGACTAAATTTTTTGTTGATTTTCCACATTAACTTTAAAGTTTTCAATTTCACTACATATTTACTGTTTTCATTTATTGTTGTTTTGTTCTTGACCTGAATCAGAATTCTAATATGATACTCAGTCTTTATTGTATGCATAATAAAAAAAAATAATGATGCAGAAACGAACAGTCAAATACAGATGTTATTCATAAATGAATATTGACCTTAGAAGTTCATCAGCATAACAAAAGAAATTGGCTATAAATACGTATCCAATAATGGAGCATAATAATGGACAAATAACAGAGTAGCAGCTTGGTAGTTAAGATGTTTTCCTTCCAATGCCAGATTCCTGGGTTCAAATCCTGTGACAGGAGGACTTATTAATCTTTTTAAAATCTTATATTATAGAGCATTGTCCATCCTGTTATAAGTATACTTGATGTTTGAATGAAATATAAAAATAAGTTACAAAAGAAAGCTACAATGCTAATAAGTATTTAATGCCAGGCTCCGGAGAAAAAAAACCCCTTTTTTATATGTTGTACAACTAATTTTTCTAAGACAAAAAGCATATTTGACGGAAAACTTGGGAACGGTTAATGAGATACAGATTTCTGAATATTTAAAAACTGGAGGAAAGGTGAGGAAAAGTTTCCCTCTGGAGCCAGATTTTAACATTAGAACTCTTGGGAATAATTAGTAGAAGTTGAATATCTAAAGCAGGTGTAACATTAATGACTAAAAGGATAAACAAACTGTATTAGAATAGTTCAAAATATATTTCAGTATTCTTTTAGCTTTAGTGTATGTTGTAGACTAATATTTATATTTCGATTAGTTTATAAAATATTTTGGCTCCTGTGGAAAATAAATCTGGTATACTAATACTTGAAAAAGGGAAGGCATGCTGTATCTGTATTACCTTATTAGTTGAATAAATGAGATTAATTCCAGCCAGTAGTGACTAAAAATTACATTGATATGCTATGGATAAGTTGAGGTTTTGAAAGGTATGGAAGATGTGTTCTAAGTAAAATGTCTTGTGTTCTTATTACATGCATATTTTCTATTTTTGTACCTTATCTTACGTTTATATACTGTACGTATTTTGTTTTGAAGAATTTATTCTTTAATAACATAATTGATTATTAAGATTCATGACTTTGTGTTTAGTAAGTAAATTAATATTTTGACTGACTGCTTTAATTGACTGATATAAAATTGGTAGTTAAGCAAATTGGGTCGGGACTGAACATCGTTTATTTTTAATTTAAAACACATTAAAATGTATAATATTAAATGACTTTAAGGCATCAAATTGTTTTAAATAATTACATAGATCCTGGATTATGAAATAAATCACAAGTCAGTTGGAGTCTGTTTTAGTTGGGAAAAATGTAATGCCCTCTGGAACATGTCTAATTGTACCATAGCCAAATACATTATGCATATGCAGCATCAATATTTATGTATGCATAATATCATAGCTGGTATTATATGCATAACCTGCATCTAGTGTTGCATAGTCCTATACCTGGTATTGTGTGCATAATAGCATAACTGATAATAGATGCAACATCTTCACTGATAATGTAACATTAACTTATATTGTATGTAACATCTTAACTGACAATGTAACAACTTAATTAATAATGTAACATCTTAGTTGATAATGTATGTAACATCTTAACTGATAATATAACATCTTAACTATTAATGTAACATCTTAATTGATAATGTATATGTAACATCTTGACTGATGATGTATTGTAACTGATCATTGGTACTTCTGGCTCACTGAGTCATAGAGGCAGTTGCTTCTTTTGAAGTCTCAGGACCTTTGTGTCAAAATAAATAAATGAAATGAAATAATATGCTACATCCTAACAGATAAAATGTATGTGTAACATTTTAATTTATAATGTATGCATATCATCTTTTCTGATGATGACCTAACATCCTAACTAATAGTATGTGCATAGTAGCATAACTGATAATATATATGTAACATCTTAATTGAAAATGTATGTGTAACATACTAAATGATAGTGTGTGCATAACATTATAACTTGCAATGTATGCTTACCAGCATAAATTTCATTGTGTGGTTTGTAATAATCTTAATAATCAAAATGTACATTTCTCTTTGCAGATTTTGACAACTGAATTAGACAACTACAGCAAGGTGATTGGCAGTCTCCATGAGCAGGCTGAGCAACTTGGTGACCAAGTAAGTTGAAAAGAGCTCCCTCTAGCAGCTCTCTACAATCTGTAGCCTCATAGCACCAGATTGAGTTTAATCTGACTAATTATATGAACGTTTATTAACATGTTGCCATGAACAAGTAACGTTTTTATTTATAAATTTGTTGGTGTTTTTTTTCTTTTGTGTTATTTGGTATTTTAATTGATCTGGTATTGTTTCCTTAGGATCGTGAATCGTCAGAGGTTTGCAGTAGGTTGGGCACAATTGATCGAAGGTACAAGGAGCTTAAGGACTTGAACCAGTTGCGCAGAGAGCGCTTATTGGATGCTTTGTCCCTCTACAAGCTTTTCAACGAGGCTGACAATGTCGAAGCCTGGATTGATGAAAAGGTATGTATATTTTTAGAGCACTTCCATACAAGTTGACAATATCAGAAAAACATGTAGTATGTTTTGTGGTTGTAGTTGCCCATATGAGTCTTTAATTTTAATAAATGTGCACCATCTGATGATATAATTCTAAAGAAAGCCATTCAGTTACTTCTGATCTCAATTTTACAGTAGATTGCATAAGAGTTTCACAACAATTTTATTTATTTTTTTTTATTATAGGAACAAACATTACAAGCATTGCACCCAGGAGAGGATCTTGAATCGAATGACATACTCTTATCTCGCTTTGGTCGTCTGGAAAAAGAAGTTGAGATCAATGCCTCTAAGGTTGCCATTGTCAACCAACTTGCTCGACAACTTCTTCAGAATGAGCATCCAAACTCCACTGAAATCAACAGCAAGCAGAATCACCTCAACCAGCGATGGCACGCTCTGCGTGAACTGCTGGATGCCAGACGTGAAGCCATTCTGACGTCGCGTGAAATCCAGACGTATCACATTGAGTGTATTGAAACTACCCAGTGGATTAAAGACAAGATTAAAGTCATTGCAGCAACAGAAGAACTTGGCAATGATCTGGCAGGTGTCACAGCTCTTCAACGTCGTCTCAAGGGAATGGAGAGTGATCTTGCTGCCATACAAACCAAGGTTAATATTTGTTAATTTACTTTAGCTCTCAATCAATCAACATTTAAGTAATTTAAAAATAAAACTTATTATTTTCTGTGGAAGTAAAGTTTTAAATTTTATTTTTAATATGTGTAGTTGGATGATCTGGAGAAAGAGTCAGATAAACTTGCCCAAGAGCATCCAGAAGAGGAGGAAGAGATCAGAGCACGAAAGGACAAGATCACAGAAGCCTGGGTAGACCTTAACGATGTAGTAAGTTTCTCATACAGTATTTCACATTCTTGAATTAGTAATAATCATCCTCTTAATACACAATTTTCAATCGATTGTTGCTTAAAATATTCCATCTTTTCCACATAGCTAAAGGAACGTGAGTCAGCTCTCAGCGAGGCAGGTGACCTGCACCAGTTCTTGGGCGATCTTGATGAGTTCCAGGCATGGCTTACTAAGACTCAAACTACAATTGCGTCGGAAGACATTCCAAACAATTTGAAAGAGGCAGAGAAATCTCTAAACAAACATGCTGCCATAAAGGATGAGATTGACGGCTATGAAGATAAGTATGCAGGGCTAAAAGAGACGGGAGAGCGTGTTACAGAAGGACAAACTGATGCACAATATGTCTTCCTCAAGCAGGTGAGATCTCATTTCAAGTACATATTTACATCAGCTGTTTAAACTACTTTAAACTACATATTGCATAAAATCAAATGATTTCTTAACCAATTTTACAATTTTCCTCAGCGTCTGCAAGCTCTTGATGACGGCTGGATTGAGCTTCACCAGATGTGGGATAACAGGCAGCATCTTCTGTCCCAAGCTCTCCATCACCAGATGTTCAACAGAGATGCTAGACAAGCTGATATCATTCTCAACCAGCAGGATAACTTCTTGGCAAACATCAAACAACCTGTAAGAATTGACGAGATTGGATTTGTGTTAATGATCACAAAGATCAAATCAAATTTATTCTGAAAATTAGAAAAAGTATTTTTTTTAAGTTAGAGAAGTGATGGTGCTATTAACTGTCATTTGTGATGGTGTTTGATGAAGATCCAGTTGGTAACGATAATTTTAAACAATTTTAATTATTGAGATTAACTTATAAAATTTATAATAGTAAAACTTTTTTACCACAGTAAACACTGGACAGGAATGTACTAAGGTCTGTCCACATTATTAAATATTCTTTGACAAAAAACTGTTGTATGCCCATATATAGTCATGATGACATGTCATCATGACCATATTTAGGCATGTCACATTTGAGTGTGGACAGGACTTAAAACTGCTCTGTTCTAAACTACATATTTTTTCATTACTTGATTTATAGATTTTCTTCTTTAGCTCATTTTTTTTTATGTGTGTGATACCTCCATTGTTAATAATGGTTGTATCATGGTTCATAATTTGTTTTAACACAAAATTTATTGAAATAAAGGAACGACGTTTCGTGTCCATCATGGACGCATTTTCAAGATCAAGTGAACAAAAATAAACAAATCATAGAAAACCAAATGACAGTGACATGAGGTGGGATTAAACCCTTTTCCACTCCATGATAGCCTACTGAGCTTTTGTTAACATATTAAGTGTTAATCATGTGATTGTTAAACCCACCTCATGTCACCTACATTTGGTTTTCTATGATTTGTTTATTTTTGATACCAAACGTCGATCCTTTTTGTGTTAAAGTTGTATAGTAAACATCTGTTGATTCATAATTTGTTTGTATTTTTTAATTACAGCATAGCCTGGAAGCAGCTGAAGAAGCCATTAAAAAGCAAGAGAATTTCATCAACCAGATGGACAATTCAGATGAGAAGATCAATGCTGTAATAACAATAGCAAACAAGCTCTGTGATGAGAACCACTATGCTGCAGACAAAATCAACAAAAAAGCTGAAAATATCGATGAAAGGTATGCTCATTGCTTAGTCAAGAAAATGGCAATTCCCATCTTCATTTGGTTGCCATATTCTTTTCTTACTGTACAGGTGTTTTTTTCTTGCTGACATTATTATTATTATTTTTTTTCCCCTTCATCTGCCTACCAGCAGAGAACGCTTCTTTGAAACTAAAGTCATTAACTTCTTTTGTAGACGTAAAGCTAACAGACAAGCTGCAGAGGATGCTCTTGATAAACTCCGTGACCAGTGCCAACTGCAGGCATTCCTTGAAGAAGCTGAGGATCTAGACCAATGGATTACAGAGAAGATGGTTGTTGCTCAAGAAGAGACATACGACGAAGCTCGCAATCTACACAGCAAGTGGCAGAAGCACCAGGCATTTGAGAAGGAACTAGTGGAGAACAAGGAGAGGCTTGATAAATTGAAAGAAGTAAGTTAACATTGCCATTTGAAGGGTAATGGTGAGGGGTCCCCAGTTGAGGCTGTGTCTGTTGGTGAAAAGGAGGCAGCTCAGTAGGCTAAAAAAGGGCAGACGAAGATATTTGTCAAATTATCCTAAATGTATATTAAGAATTGTTTATTATAAAAAACAATTTGAAGATATGTTGTAGACATACCAAGGAGAAGTTTTATGTGAGAAGGAATATTTTTTTCACTACGTCAGTTTAGGTTTGGTGTGCTTTGTAAGCATTCCCTTTAATTTTCTCCCATTTAGCATGGTGAGCAACTGATAGAAGAGAAACCAGAAATGAAGGAAACTGTTGAAGAACAACTTAAAGACCTGGAACAAAAATGGCAGGATAGATGTGTATAAGAGACAGGATCAGAGCACGAAAGGACAAGATCACAGAAGCCTGGGTAGACCTTAACGATGTAGTAAGTTTCTCATACAGTATTTCACATTCTTGAATTAGTAATAATCATCCTCTTAATACACAATTTTCAATCGATTGTTGCTTAAAATATTCCATCTTTTCCACATAGCTAAAGGAACGTGAGTCAGCTCTCAGCGAGGCAGGTGACCTGCACCAGTTCTTGGGCGATCTTGATGAGTTCCAGGCATGGCTTACTAAGACTCAAACTACAATTGCGTCGGAAGACATTCCAAACAATTTGAAAGAGGCAGAGAAATCTCTAAACAAACATGCTGCCATAAAGGATGAGATTGACGGCTATGAAGATAAGTATGCAGGGCTGAAAGAGACTGGAGAGCGTGTTACAGAAGGACAAACTGATGCACAATATGTCTTCCTCAAGCAGGTGAGATCTCATTTCAAGTACATATTTACATCAGCTGTTTAAACTACTTTAAACTACATATTGCATAAAATCAAATGATTTCTTAACCAATTTTACAATTTTCCTCAGCGTCTGCAAGCTCTTGATGACGGCTGGATTGAGCTTCACCAGATGTGGGATAACAGGCAGCATCTTCTGTCCCAAGCTCTCCATCACCAGATGTTCAACAGAGATGCTAGACAAGCTGACATCATTCTCAACCAGCAGGATAACTTCTTGGCAAACATCAAACAACCTGTAAGAATTGACGAGATTGGATTTGTGTTAATGATCACAAAGATCAAATCAAATTTATTCTGAAAATTAGAAAAAGTATTTTTTTTAAGTTAGAGAAGTGATGGTGCTATTAACTGTCATTTGTGATGGTGTTTGATGAAGATCCAGTTGGTAACGATAATTTTAAACAATTTTAATTATTGAGATTAACTTATAAAATTTATAACATCTTACTTACAGGTAACATCTTACTTACAGGTAACATCTTACAGGTAACATCTTACTTACAAGTAACATCTTACTTACAAGTAACATCTTACAGGTAACATCTTACTTACAGGTAACATCTTACATGTAACATCTTACAGGTAACATCTTACTTACAGGTAACATCTTACAGGTAACATCTTACAGGTAACATCTTACAGGTAACATCTTACTTACAGGTAACATCTTACTTACAGGTAACATCTTACTTACAGGTAACATCTAACTTACAGGTAACATCTTACTTACAGGTAACATCTTACTTACAGGTAACATCTTACTTACAAGCAGAGATCTCCTGAAGTCTCCCGAAAATCGCGGGTTTCTCCCGATTTTTTAGGCCGTCTCCCGCCCTCCCGATTTTTATTAATAATCTCCCGATTTTTTTAAATATCCCGAAAATTTCACGAAAAATGTGATTTCCACGATGTCATAGAGCAATGAAACAAAATTTCTTATCTTAAGCCAATATACTATGGCGCTCGCTCAGCCTTAAAATGTCGTAAACAAGACCAGGGAGTTGTTATTTAAGTTGTTTATCAAAATAACAACTCCATGGCAAAGCAGGCAGGTAGAATCGCCTTGTTTATCCATGTGTCCTGTATCCATGTATCCTCCATGTTACGATCTTTCTCATCCGCGCTGACCTCAATCAATGAGATGGCTGTCAGTTGAGTAAATAAATTTCAACAAATTAACGAAATTAGAGGCGATCGCTTCACAAAAAAAATTTCCCTATTTTTTGGTTTTCAAACTTGGAATCTCTGCTTACAGGTAACATCTTACTTACAGGTAACATCTTACTTACAGGTAACATCTTACTTACAGGTAACATCTTACAGTACTTACAGGTAACATCTTACAGGCAACATCTTACTTACAGGCAACATCTTACTTACAGGCAACATCTTACTTACAGGCAACATCTTACTTATAGGCAACATCTTACTTACAGGTAACATCTTACTTAGAGGCAACATCTTACTTACAGGTAACATCTTACTTACAGGTAACATCTTACTTACAGGTAACATCTTACTTACAGGTAACATCTTACTTACAGGTAACATCTTACTTAAAGTGCCATTTGAACTTGCATACTCAGTATATAAGCTAGTTAATAACTTGGAATGGAAGCTTTTCAAATGTTAGATTTCATTTAGCTCAAGTTTATTAGTATATATATATATCAATATAGATAATAACAATTTAATCTATAATTTTTTTTTATTTTAAAGTTGTGTTCTGTAATAAATTAATGTTATAAAGTTTTTTTACTTATTAAAAATATTTCAGTACCTTAAAAGTCTAACAGGTTAACTTTATTAGATTTTTTGGATTTTGCATTTATAGATTCACATACTGTAATTTTATAGTTATTAACAAGTAATGGCTTTCTTTGCCACATCCAAATGAATCGATAAAATTTAAGATACATAAATACAGGCTTATATAGGCTTAAGTTAAGCTGTACCATTAATCTTGTGTATATCCATCAAGTCATACATAATATATGTACCTGTTAAGCCTAGAATTTGGCTATACTTGTGAGCTATTATTTTCAAGAAATTACTATAATATTGTTTAGTATTTTCATAGCATCTCAGCAATATAAAGAAAGTCTTTAAATGATTGCAACATTGTTATTCCTTGTCAATGGATCCGTAAAATGGTAAACCAGCACAAAGTGCAACCGCCTACGCTTCTTATGGTTTATGTGCTGCATTAAATTAATACTACAGCTTAATACCAGATACCATTATACTTTTTGGCAGATGCACTAGATTAAGTGCCTTGCCCAGGGACCATAGTGAAATGCACAGCGAGAGATCCGAACCCTTGACCTCAAAGTTAACTGGGTGCTATGCCAACTCCTTCCAAGGTATATAAAATATTGTAATTAATACAGATTGTCAGATTAAGATGAATGATATCCATTTAATTACAGTAGAACCTCTCCTTTGAGAGATCACTATTAACAAGATACCCATATTAAGGGGCCATCCCTATTAAGGACTCATTCTTATTAAGGGATCACTCTCATTTAAATGGATCACTCTTATTTAGGGGATTCTTTTTTGGCCACAAAATGATTGAAAGTATATTTTTTAAACTATTGTCAACCCCTATTCAGGAGACACTCTATCAATGGTAAATTTTTTGGTCTCTAATAAGGTGTTTGCTTAATAGGAGTTCTACTGTATGTGATTATCCATGGGGGAGCAGTGGTATGAAATAATAAGCTCTGTCTAGAATTTTCTTTTTAAAAAACTTTATGTGCCCATACCGTACTCGTGCAAATAAGCGCCCCATTTGAATAACCGCCCCTCTTGGATAACCGCCCCTCTTGGATAACCTCCCTCTCCTAACGTGAAAATTGTCTTAAGCGCCCCCTCAATTTTGTATAAGCGCCCCTTGATTCTTAAGAAAATTCAATCATACAGTACAGAACAGTATATCACCAACCTAATTTTCTGCATCAACTATTCGCATCTATCTTAGCATTGTCATTTGGTCAGTCCATCTATCCATCTGCTGTCGGTCTATCAGTCTCCATTAAGTTTAACATGGTTTTCAGTTTTGATGCATCTTTAGAATCCCGTTCTTGTTTTATTGCTATCCTCTTTGCATTTAAAACTACAGTGTTTAATATCTAAAAATTAAAATACTGTATGGCCATTTTCAGTCAACAAAAATAAACTAACCTCATCACTCTCGTATCCTGCTAATCTGAATTGGCAGATGGCCAACACACTTACCACCAACACCAGTACCACCACTAATTTCATCTGCTGTTGTGTAAATACCCCCAACATTCTTGTCATGAGCCATGCTCTCTCGACGATTACCTTTTGTTCACCAAAACTATTGTTTATCTTTGATTTTTAAAAAAGTGCATCTTGAATTTTCCAATTTCCTATAATTACCCTTTCAATTTTCATCTATTTCCATAAGCGCCCCCTCAATTTCCACTCTGTTTTCACAAGTGCCCCGTTTGAATAAGCGCCCCTCAAAAAGAGCCAAAAATATTTTAAGTGCCCGGGCGCTTATTATCGCAGGTATGGTATATAGTTATGATGTGCCTGTATATGTTCATGATGTAATGTTGTCATGACCATATTTAGGCATGTCACATGTTTTTTTAATAGAATTTGAGTGTCTACAGGGCCATAATAACAGGTAGTGTTTTAGTGATAAATATTTATACTTTCATATACACTTGTTCAGATGAATATCTATTACCTATATGTCTGTGCATTATAGCTTATTGATCTCTAGGATGTCTCGCCTACAGTTTGTTGATTAGTTTCATTACCATGGTTACAAAGGCCTTCCTTTATTGTATGTAAACAAGAATTGTCGATTACTCTGCCATCTTTAAATTTTAGAGGATTGCTTATATATTCCTTGGGTGTTAACATTTTTAATATAGGTCACAGATTCATCTCTGTAGTACTTAACAACTGTACTTAATAAGTACTATTCTAGGCCAGGAATGGATTCAGGGTCTTACGTTAAGAGGAGGTGGGGGTTGAGAGGGCTACCTATAATTTAATGTTTTATATAACATCCATAATATTGTATTTCTATATATATAAATAGTAGTTCACTTCAAATTTGTTTCATTTATATACCTATTTTTCAAAAATAAGATAGTATTCTATTTATCTTTATACCCAGATGCTAGAGAGCCAGGTGATGGTGAAAAAGAGTCAGGTCAATGAACTCCATTGCCAGGTACAACACCTGGAGAACCTGGAAGAGATTGAGAAAGTGACCGTCAAAAAACAGGCCGTAGAGGAGCGGTTCATGGCCATGTCCGAACCACTGACCCAGCGGAGAGCCATCTTGGAAAATGCTCAGAAAGGTCACAAGCTCATCAGAGACTTTGAAGATGAGAAGGTAAAATTAAGCTTTTCTAAAGCCAGGCACTTGCTGCACTGTATCACGGTCATACAATCGTTGTACAACAAATCCAACTCCGTCCATAAACCATCTGCTTATTGTCGGTGTCATTTTGAACGAATCATTATTAAAATGATCTGTTGCATGCTTCTTGGTGTTGCGTTCTATAAAAAATTGCGACGATTGTCGAGCACAATATGTACTTGAATTATCACTTATTCTATCATTAGGAAGTTGATGGTTATTGGATGAAGGTTATTCTCGAAATAGGAGAGTAAATGGATGACAATAGATATCCAACTATCATCCTATTTCGAAAGTACTCTAATGGTGAAAAAGAGAAAGGTGACAGGTATAATAAATAATATGATGCTGTAGGAGTGAGGTTAGGATGATGATGAGGATGCCAATAGTAATTATAATAATATATACCCTGATATTATAGTGCTTAATGCTTGAAGTACAAAAGCCTTTCATAGTTCAAAATATAATTTATCTGAGGAATTTATCATTTAAAAGGTAGATTTTAGTAGATTAACAGTGTTTGTTAATTTAAATTTTAGCAACATATGTGGCATGGTCAAGCCAAATCATGTCAATCACGTCATCGGTCAATTGTCATGATACATCTTTAATCTAACCAAGTACAATGATCCCACAGTGCCATAGTCGATTCAAAACATGGCAATTGAGCAAAGCTAGGCCTAGTTGCTCATATTTTTTTACAGTTTTCATCCACTTTACAAGTACCAAAAAATAATTAGTGAACAATCATTTGACAATATTGTGCAATTTCAAAACCTTTAGCAACGGTAACTTCCTGTTTTTAGCTTAGCATAGACTGCCTGTTGAGTATCGCTGATCGTCATACGAAATGTATCACCACCAATGTTTTTGGGCGAATTCAAACTCAAATAACTTTCAAACCTGTTTTGGGACCTAAACGAAACTCTGGGTGTTGGTAGAAAAATATATTTGTATTACTTGGGCCAAATTTCAAGAACGTTGCAGGCCTCGAATTTGGGGATTTTATGGGCAAGGCCAAATGGCCTCCGGTATGACATGATTTTGAAAGGCACAAAGGCCAAAATTTCAAATATAAAAGGGCACCAAGGCAAAATTTGATTTAGCCTCAGTACTAATCTCTCGCGAGTGCCTTAATTCGTAGCCAGGCTAAGCCTAGGCAAGTTAGGCCTAGGTCAAGCTAGGCCTAGCTAAGCCATTGTTGTCAATGGTAAAATAACTTTGTTTAGAGTATTAACTGTTATCGATTCAATGTTGGAATATACTTTTAGTTTTTTGGGGCGGTAGGCGATGGTAAACAAAACAGTCAAAGTTCAATATCTGATGTTGTTGCTCAGAGCGTCGTCATCAGAGAGGAGGCCACACCTCTAAACTGGCCCTCATCAACTAGATTAGCCGAGTGTCAACCAATTAGGTTAATTTCACACGCTTGAGCTGCGATGACGTCAGATCGCCCAAAGCTAGCTGCACAGCAAGCACATGTTTACTGCAATTACCACTCGAGTCAGACGCATGCGCACACAACGGTAACTGCAAAAACAGTTCATATCAACACACATGGAAATTCTCTCATGTTCTGTCACTGCAACCTTATCCAGGCCTAGGCGACCTACGTTTTTGGCTTTAGTGTTTTCTTTCAGCGCGGTGGTAAATTTCACACATGAATTTCTCAAAAACGTGTTTAGGGTTTCTCACAAACGTAGTGTATCTTTAAACTTCTATAACTTTGTAATGTAAAGTCAGATTTTAAAAAAAATGTTCACCATTGTAAAGAAAAATACCTTACAAATAATAATAATTTATAAAAACCGAATTTCCGACAAGCGACTGATTGGACTTGATCGCACCACGTATTATGTGCTTCAATTTTTTCTTCATTTTAAACCATACTCAAGCTATACATCTATTACTCCTGAAATATTTTTCCCATTCTTGTTTATAGTATTTGACATGTAGGAAATAGACTAAATAAAAGAATTTTAATATTTGATTTAAAAGAAATATCAATAGCTTTGTTTGGATTGGTACTTCTTGGAAATTATCATGGCTGTCAACAATTGGAAATCAATTAAATAATTATGCGTATATTCGGTTATGAGGGAAGCAACTACAAAAACATTCACTAATAACCAATAGCCAGTAGGATTTTAAAATTTATTAAATTAATAATTATAATAGAAAAGTATGTAGCTGCTGGGGATAGATATCATTGCAATTATGATAATAAAATGATTATTTGTGTTATTATTATGTTACCTTGAAATTAATATGTAGAATTAGTAATGTTCAACAGACAATATTTTATAACAATATCATGCATAACAAGCAGGTGTGTAATTTTGAAATGAAAGAGATCCTTTTACATACAGACTGCAATAACAAAAACAACAATGGAATTCTTTCTCCGTGGAATTTAATTAATCACAAGATGGTTACCTGTAGCTGCTTTGTCATGCATCATTTTGTCATTTAGTATTGTCATTATTCATCATTCATATTGTTATTGTTTAGAAATAATTATAATAATGTGACATTTTCTGAGTAATCCCTTGGTGTTTTTGCTATTAAAGTCTATAATTGAGATTATTTACTAGAAGTTTGGAATTTAAAAAAAAATATACCAAAGCTTCATTATTTTCATTAATCATGTTTATAAAGGTTGATAATGACTCTAATTATTATTTGAAACCAATTCTATTTTTATATGGTCTGCATTGCTGATTGTTATCTTTCTAAATTGATCAAACCTTCTCCATCTCTGGTTTCATTAACAATCTTAATTTTGAATAAGAAGCCATTTCAAACATGGAAAAACATTCTTTTCCATGGTACAATATCCATTTGACGACTTGCGTTGTAATCTTCGATATGACATTATATCATAGGCTGACATATATTTTGATTCATGACTCAATAAAATCTTCACTTTACAATCTTGAGAAACAGCTTTTCATCATGAAATTCTCATGCATTGATAAATTTTAAGTCAAATATGTATTTCTATTTGTGTCTCAAGGCTTGGATACAGGAACGCATGCCCGCCGCAACATCCCAAGACATCGGTAACAATCTGCAAGCGGTGCAGACCCTACAGAAGAAGAATAACTCGCTGAAGGCAGAGGTTGATGGTCATGAACCACGCATTGTTGAGGTCTGTGACCGTGGACGGGCCGCCATCGAGGAGAACCACCCATTCTCTGATCAGATTGAGACAGCAATTGGTGATGTCAATGACCAATGGGAAAAGCTGAAAGATGCGGTAGATGCACGTAAAGATCGTTTGGTCGAATCTGAGAAAGCACAGAGAGTGAGTATATAAAATTTGTCAACTTGGCGGAAATAGGACACAACAAGGAATAGCCAGTATAAGTCTGAAGACTTATTTCCAGTGGGATTTTTCTTGTGATGAATTAGGCAGTACACCAGGAGACAGGCCCACCTTTTCTTTTTCTAAGAATATACAGTGTATGGTGGTTGTATAATATTACCACACTATCACCTCAGAGGCTGTGACTGAAGAACTTGTTATTTTTGTTGTTATTGTTGTTTTTATCATTATATTAATAATATTATTAATGAAATAACCTGTAATTTTCTTGACACTTTAAGTACTACTTCGATGCAAATGAAGCTGAAGCCTGGATGAGCGAACAGGAATTATACATGATGGCTGAAGAACGCGGTAAGGATGATTCAAGCGCCATGGCAATGATGAAGAAACACAACATTCTGGAGAGTGCTGTAGAAGACTATGCTGACACAATCAACGACCTCTCCAAGGAGTCCAGGAAGTTAATGGATGAAAACCATTCTCAGAGGTTAGTGCAATTCAACTTTGATTACGGTAAAATCAATTCCACTCCAAAAGCCTCCTAATTGTTTTTTTCTTTGTTTTTTTTGTTTTGTTTATTGTATCATTATTAAGTTGAAATTTTAATTTTTTGGAACCAAGTATTCAAGAGTTTAAATTACCTCTCTGTTTGATCACTCTCAGCAATCTAAAGGTTTTTATTGATTTTCTATATTATTATTAATTATGAATTATATATTTTTTTCAATTTCATAATGATGTGAAAGATTATTTCATGTTAAGTGTTGCTGCATTCCCTATTAATAGTGACAAGTAGCAATAGGGAATGCCGCGACTATGAAAGTAAGATTATTTGATGTTCAGTTGTTGCGGCATTTCCTTGCAATAGTCGCATTCCATTAATTACGGCACCTGTGTCTTTTCTCTGAAAGCTATCTACTCCGCTATCCTCGCATTCAATTCTCCATCTGTCTTTAGTGCTCAGATCCATGCTTGATGGCTTTGCCATATATCATACCACAAAACATTAATATAATGAGATATTTTTTTGACTACTGGTTGAGATGGCAATAACACAAGTATTACTTAACATTTAATATGCATACCTGGGAAAAATTAAAAGACATACCTTTGTCACTGTCATAATTGCTTCATCTTAATCATATTAACAATAAAAATATTATAGTTCATAATTTCTAATAATTCATAATAAATAATGATTTATTATATACTGGGAGACACCACAATTTTGTTGACTAAAAATATCTCGGCTAGACTTGTGATGAAAATCTATAAAGCATTGTATTATTCAATTTATTTATTTATTTAATTTAGCTTGAATATATATATATATATATATATATATGTATGTATATGTATATATATATATAATATATATATATATATAAAAAATGAATGTAAGTGAGTTTCTTGGAAATTTTTTTTTTTTGATAATCACTTCAGTGAAATTTGTCAGAAACGTTTTACAATTAAACCACGAATGATTTTTAAATCTTCAGCGACCAGATAGCCATCCGTCAATCGCAGATTGATAAGTTGTATGCTGGTCTGAAGGACTTGTCCCAAGAAAGACGCCACCGCTTGGAGGAAGCTGTGCGTCTGTTCCAACTGAACAGAGAGGTCGATGACCTAGAACAGTGGATTGCAGAGCGTGAGGTGGTTGCTGGCTCGCATGAATTAGGACAGGACTTCGAACATGTTACTGTAAGTAATAATAAATTGCAAGCTGACATGAAATTAAATGTGGTTTGGAAGATCAAAAATGATATTCAAAATAATGATAACATGCATTTGAACAATAACACAAAGTGCCCAACGGCTTAAATGTCTTCTGATGGTGTGCTTTCCACTATTTGCTGTATGCCTGTACATTGTTATAAATGAAAAATATAATCTATCTGTATTTAGATGTTACAAGATCGCTTCCGTGGTTTTGCCAGTGAGACCATCTCAGTCGGAACCGAAAGAGTTAGTAAGGTCAACAAGATGGCAGATGATTTGATCGAGGCTGAGCACTCAGACGCCCCTACTATTGCTGAATGGAAGGAGGGTCTGAACGAAGCCTGGGCAGATCTCCGGGAACTGATTGATACAAGAACACAGGTAAAACATGAGAAACATACTGTACCAGACTTTCTTATAACATGTTCTTTATGTTGAACAATTTTAGATGGAATTGTGTCTACAAAAATAACAATTATTCCTATTATTTACAGTCATTTTAACATGTATTATATGAAGTTGGTTTTTGAAGATTATAACTTAAATTAAAAATGACTATGACATGGACACTACAGCAAGGGAGCTCAACCAACAAAAATGTCTTTAAAATGAAGCTTCCCCTTGCGCTAAATGGGGACTCTCCCCTCTCAAAAAATAGCGCTTTTTACCCTACTGTCAAAATCATTGCATGCTGCTCTCCTACTCCCCCAAATAAGGCTTATGTCAGATTATTCATGTTAAATCTTTATTTTGGTTGCAATTGCTTAGATTTCATTGGTTTTTTTTTTTTCTAGATGTTGGCAGCATCATATGAACTTCATAAGTTCCATCATGATGCTAGAGAAACTCTTGGACGGATACAGGTAAGTAAACATGCAGGAGGGGATCAAGGTTGATAGGGTTGGGAATGTTGATGGTAGGGTGGGGATGATTTAAGTAGATGAGAATGATTTTATTAGGATTAATGGGATAAGGATGATATGATGTGGGATAATGTTAGGGATAGTGATGTTGGAGTATGGATGATAAGGTGATGATGTGGTAATATTTGATTGTGGAGGGTGGTGGCACTGAGATATTGAGGGAACGGGTATAATTATTCTTGAAGCACTGAAGCAATTATGAATTAAATAATGACAGATATGGATGATATTGAGGTCATGTTGGGATAGGATGATAATGGAAGATAGGAATGATGAGGTGGGGATATAGTAGGATGAGTCTAGGAGTGAGAATGATGATGTATTTTGGCATGATAAGGGAGTTTGGATGATAATGATACATGATTTTTGGGGATGATGATATGTTGGGTAACATAATAGAATGGGGATGATATTTTGATAATAGTGGTTTCAAGGAATGTGATATTAAGCATCAGTTTCCATCAGTGGCTTGCTAACATTCCTTCAATTGTTTTATGAACAGGAGAAACACAATTCTATGTCAGAAGATCTTGGTAAGGATGGAAACACTGTGACAGCCCTCCAACGAAAACATGAAGCTTTCGAAACAGACCTCAAGGCTCTCGCATATCAGGTAATATAATCATGAACAATAATTAAAATAAAATATTAATTTACATGTATTTTCAAAAAGTTTATTATTAAAATCTTTGGGGCACTGCGTTGAAGCAGTACTTGAGCAGTCAGTCAACCTGTGTGCTAAAGGTTAAATTTAATCACGATATCTCAACTAAAATTAAAACAACAATTGTAGTTAATTGAAAATATTAATGTCATTAATATTACCAGCAATGATATTATTATTCAGCTTGATTGGTTTATTAATTAAGCCATTGCTTAAAATATTTACTCTACAAACAGATAATTGAATACAGTTGATGAGCATGAACTCTTACACTGTAGGAAGCAAAAAAAAAACAGTAAAGTTAAATAATAATTTCACTAGATTTATGATATAACAACAATAACAACATACAGAATTTTGTTTTAATTACTTAGTGAGATAATTTGAGGAAATACATTTAGAAGATTACAGTGTAGCAACTTAGGGAAAACAATTTTTAAAATCATATGCGTAATAGAAGACACATTAATGGGATAACCTTGAAATCTTGGATTCTGGGTGATTCCTTTGTCAGTTTAATAGTACTAAATGAAGTTATAAGCCTGCTAAAATGCCAGAAATATGATGAATTGATCAATCTGAACATGTTACTTATTGTCACCAATCTAATCAAAACATTTCTTAATGGCTTGTGTTTTTTGATATAGAAGAAATGGTGTAATTATGTATTATTAACAAAAAGATTGAAAAATAATACACAATTTATACATGATTGTTGATACAAAATTTGACAATGTTCATGATGTTAAATTTTGAAAAGTGTTAACATGTTAGCATATTTACATGTTAATCAAAAAATATATAGTTGAGTTTTTTGGTATTAACAGTCAATGTGATTGGTTATTTAAACACAGGTGAAGGCTGTTCAGGAAGATGCTGGCAACCTTCGTGCCGCGTATGCCGGAGACAAGGCGCGTGATATTGATGACCGTGAACGTGAAGTGGTAGAAGCGTGGAATGCTCTGAAAGCTGCGGTAGCATTTAGAACAGAACGATTGCATGACACCCTGGATCTGTATCGCTTTTGGAACATGGTGCGCGCCCTTCAACTCTGGATGGACGACATTTCAATCCAGATAAATACCCAAGAGAAACCAAGGTTTGTTTACTAGTAATCATAATTACTAAATTATCTATATTTATTAGTTGAATTATTAAATTCTCAAGATGGAATTATTATTGTATATATAAAACTGAATAATTGGACAAAAAATTATTAAAATGTTGGATTCATAATAATTTAAAAGTTTGACATGCAACTGATGATGTCTGCAACATGTTTTAATTTTTAATTGCATAGATTTTTTAATGTATCAATGATGAATTGGTGAAAATATTGAAACAGTCCATTATATTGGCCTACATTCAGGAAATACGTTAAAAGTATTGTGTTTATTTCTGTCAGGGATATCACAGGTGTAGAGCTTCTTTTGAATCACCATCAGAACATTCGGTCAGAGATTGATACACGTAACGACAGCTTTACCGAATGCTTCACACTCGGCAAAGACATGTTAGCTAAGGACCACTATGCGTCCAAAGAGGTAAGATTAACCTTGAGATGTACATTAGTGGTCACAAATCTCTTGGGAAACAGCATAGTGTCTTGCACTTGAGCAAGTAGAAATCCTCTGAAAATTCTACCAAATCTCCCATAATTCTATGATGTTTTTTGGCTACCGTATTATTGTTGTAATGTAAGCCTGCCAGTTGTATCATTTTGCTCAGCAATATATAATTAAATATGCTAATCCAGATCTCTCACAAGTGGCTTTTCTAAACTGCGAACCCCTTGGAAGTTTAGATGAAAAATTTGAACCTACAGTTTTGATATATTTATTTGATGACTTTTATAAGAATTGATGTACCCTGCTATCAAGTAGTATTTATTTTTTAAATTTTTTTTTTCAATACTATTACCTTTTGTGTTACCTGTGCAGATCCGTGAGAAGTTGGTAACGGTTGGAAACCAGAGGTGTGCGATGATTGCGGACTGGGAGCACAGATGGGAATACTTGTTGCTGATCCAGGAGGTGTACCAATTTGCAAGGGATGCCCACATTGCTGAGGCTTGGCTGATGTCTCAGGAGCCGTACCTCAAGAGTGAAGACTACGGGGTTAGTTTAAACAAATCCAACAAATGATTAATGGTTTTGGTGGTTAATTGAAAACATGATTTTTAAACAGCTAATAATCTTAAAATGTAGCCCTGCCTACCATCTGTTGTTCCAAATTACCGATGTGTTTGGGATCAGTTTCTAAACAGACTGATCCCAAACCAGACTATCAAATTTTATTTGACAAAAATATGTGCATGCCTAAATATGGTCATAATGACATCACGTAATGACCATATATAGGCACATCATTACTAAATTTGGACATACAACAGTTTTTTGTCAAATAAAATTTGATAATCTAGACAAGGCTTTACATTCTATTTTTAGTGTAAATATTCTTATTGTAAATGTTTTGTAGTTGTAATCCCTTGATAGCGTCTTCTTCTTTACAAACAGGCTCACAGCAACATTTATTTTATAGTTTTTGAAATCAGCATATTTGATTGGTGGTGGGTGAAAATTAAGGTCTCATCTTAGTAGCTGAATGTGTTTGTATTTTAATAGGATTTTTTGCCCAAGTATATTTGTTTAAAATGATATTTGTTTGATATTTTGGATACAGAACTCGCTTGATGAAGTTGAAAAGCTGATCAAGAAACATGAAGCATTTGAAAAAGCAGCAGCAACACAGCACGACCGCTTCATAGCCTTGGAAAAATTAACCACAGTAAGTGATCTTTTGTAATGTGAGGTAAACTTTTAAAATGAATATTATATATATACCTGGCAACATGAACTATATGCAAACTGTGTAATTTTGCCCTCACAGCTTGAAATAGCCAATGTAGATGGATAATTTGCTGTTTAATATTTAGAACAAGGTTTTATTTTAGTAAAGCAGTGAATTCTACTTCCCTCATTGCTGGATGAGTGGGAATATGCAAAGCCTAGTCCCAATCATCCAACATCTTGGAAACTGTAATTCACTTCTTTACCTCAAACCAAAATAAAATCTGCAAAATCCTTTAAAAGTTTCAATCAGTGAATTGCTCATTTACTTTCTTGCAGTTTGAATTAAAAGAGTTGCGAAAGAAAAAGGCTGAAGAGAGACGAGCTCTCAATTCCTCCGACGAAGACATTCCACCAATGAAAGAGGCGCCCTCTCTGCAGCATCTGCTGGTTGAGGAGTTCTTGCAGATTGAGAGTGAACGTGAGAAAGACGATGAAAAGGAAAAGGTTGTGTTTGATGAGCCAAAAGAAGATGAAGTACAGATTAAGTAAGAGTTCTTTGTGTTCAGAAATAAAAAATCTTCTAATATATGAGGCTTGTCGTCCCCAAACCAGCAAAGGAAAATTGTATTAAAGTATACAATACTGCCATATTCTTATGCAAAATCACTCAGTTTAACAATTATGTGATAGTACACTGGTTTGGGATAGCAAGCCTTGTATTGTTTGAGACCATATTTGAGACCTGCAAAATTGAGAGATGTCAGTATTCCGTTATAGGCATTGTTCTGTGTTAACAAATTTAAGATTGTCGGTACATTGAAAACTTGGTCTTGCCTTAAAAGGGTCTGGGAATTAATGTTGTCTCGAATGGGTGAATTCTTAAGTTTTTTCTTTTCTGTAATAGAGAGCTGAACAGGTTGCCGTTGGTAAAATGGTGAATAAAATACAAAGCAATCAAAGCAGTGTATTTGTAACATTGCATAGAACACACACAACATTTATTTTTCAGACAAAGAAATTCAAATTCTTTAAATAATCAGAATCACATTTTAATACTGGGGTTTTACACATTTTATCTGAAATAATTTTGTTATTCAGAATTCTTTATTCTACAGTGTCATAATAATCTTTTATGCTGCCTCAACAAAATTTCCATATTTAATACATTTTTTTTATTCATAATAGTTATACTCGACATATAGTAGATGATGATGATCAGGCAGTTGTTTCCGAGCGTCTTGACAACGTTAAACACCAGATGGAGGCCGCCATCAATGTGTTGAACAGCGAGTCCGCAGAGAGCGAACGAAATGGGGACAGTACCAACGATTTGGTGAACGGTGACGGAGAGCAGGCGCAGAGCACACCAAGTACAATCAGTGAGAAGAAAGTAGAGGATGTGGCTGAAGGAAGCAGTAGTCGTGGCGATGCCCCATCTTACCAAGCTGAAGGATTACTCATCAGAAAGCATGAATGGGAATCCCCCAACAAGAAGGCCCACAGCAGGTCAGACTAGAAAAGGATTTTTACAATTTTTCAGTCTTTTCTAAAGAGGATTTTACTCGCAAATTGGACAACCTAATAATTATATCAGCACCACAAACAAAGCTAGGCCTACTTGGTTTTAAATTTTAATGAGAAAATTAGTATTGTAGGGAGTCAACTTAATATAGTCCAATTACTGTTTGTTGACTTTACCAATGGAGCTGTAGGACATAATACGTATAATTTGCTGTTTAGAATAATGTGTTCCATGCATTATTTAGTTTGTATATTACCGCAAAAGTTTATATTCCACCTTGTAATTGAGAAGTTGGTAGAGTGATTATCAGTACTAATACATGTAGTAAAATTGAATAAACCATGCTTTAGACTACAATTTTTATGGTACTAATGCATTGTACACCCAATTGGGACCCATTTGGAAATAAGTGCTTTTCTCCATTTTATGGCTTCACTATTTACTGAATGTTTTGTTCTAAAAAAAAATAAATCTCTTAATTAATTAAAATTTTAAATGTTTTGTGGTTGTGATTATATTCATAATATTGTATTTTTATGTATTTTAAAGTGAAACTAAATAAATTCAAATCAAATGAAATCAAATTTATGATTTCGACTATAATTGAAATGGTACTAATGAATTATTGATAATTGAGACTAAAATTTAAATACTACTGATGAATTATTCATGATTTAGACTATAATATAAATACTAACTGATGAATTATTCATGGTTAGACTACAATTTAAATAGTACTGATGAATTATTCATGATTTAGACAGCTAATACAAAGTATTCTTTGTTTTAGGTCATGGCATCAAGTTTTCGCTGTACAGCAGGGCTCGGATCTTTTCTTCTACAAGGATCAGAAGTCAGTGTCACATGGCACATACCACGGAGAAGCCCCAATGTCCCTCACCAAAGCAACAGTAACACTTGCAGAAGATTACACCAAGAAGAAGCACGTGTTCAGAATCAGGTAAGAAATGTAATTTGAGTAAATGAAATATAATTACTCAGGTCTAAAACAAGTTATCTTATGCTTTAAATTAAAAAAAAAAAGCAAAGTTTCAATAGGTTGTTGTAAATCATAAAGATATTAAGGAGGACAAGAGTGCCAAATAATTTATTCTGGTGTTTAAAATTTTTTTTTTTTTTTGCCTAATTAAAATATAGAAAAAAAATATTTTAATTTGTTTTAAATTATTTTGATTCAATCTTGACCTTGACTTATGTTTTTATTTGTCCATGTTTGTTGTTTTAAATAATCCTGATAATTGTTGATATTTTTTTCACCCCATTATGTTTAAAGGACTCGTAGGTTTGTTTTGTTTATAATTTTATTTCCTAACGTGAATAGAGTTACATTAATGTACTGTATATTTTAGATAAGCTGAGAGATTAATTGATACGCTTATTATTTTATGTATTAGTGCTATATAACAATATTGTTGAGTTCCATTGCAGTTACTAGTACAGTGTTAGATTTGCTTATTAAATGTTTTATCATAAAGCTGATGCCACTGCTACTGCTGCTACTCCACTGCCTCCACTACTATTTCCACTATTACTATCGCTACACAACCAAAACCACTAACACTCTCTGTTAATGCTCAATTTCTGTTGATGCTGCTACAGCCCTCACTACTACTACTGAGCTTTTTCTGAGCTGCTAATGCTGCTGCACCTACTTCTGTTGTTGATGCCACTAAAACTGCTGCTACTCAAGTGCCACCACTGCTAATACCAGCACTATTACAACCAAAACCACCAATACTTTGTGTTACTAATGCCGACTTTCTGTTGATGCTGCTACAGCCCTCACCACTACTGCTGCTGTTGATGCTGCTGTTGATACCACTAATACTGCACTACTCAAGTGTCAATGCTCTATAACTATCACTACACAATCAGATCACTCTATTTTACAAATGCTCACTTTCTGTTGATGCTGCTACTGCTGCAGCTTCTACTAGTACTGATACTACTGCTGCTACTACTACTGCTGCTGTATGCTAATACTACTGCAATAGCTACTAAAACTACTACAAGTACATAATTTTACTAATGCTCGATTGAACTACTAGAAGTATATCGTTATACATGCTCAATTGAATGCTAGCTAAGTTTTTGTTCTTCAGATATGAAGAGCTTTTGTATTTTATTTCATTTTTTTACAGATTAAGTGATGGTAATGCTTACTTGTTCCAGTGTAAGGACAATACTGAAGTGAATTACTGGATTGATTGCCTGAATGAGGGCAGCAAACACCAATCAGATCAACAACGATCTGCCACAATGCCTGTGGACTCATCAAACGCTGGCAAGAAGCCTAAGTCCGGCAAAGGCTTTTTCACTCTCAAGAAATGAGAGGCTTTAGTATATTAAAATATTTAGCTTACATAAATTTCACACTCACTTTATTACTATAATATAGAGTTGATTTAAAAAAGCGTGTAAATTAAAAATTTGAAATTCCAAATCTAGACAATTTGAGTGCTGATAGTGAATTTGAGCACAATGATAGGCTGTTAGCTGGCTTATGCACATTTAATGTGTAAAGCAAACTTAATTAATTGTAAAGTTTACTTAATAATGAATATGTGTCTCACTGTATATCAATTGATGTAATAGTCAATGAAGTGATGTAGATTTTAGAATTTAAATTATTATTATTATTATTAAGAATTATTGGTAGATATTAAATGATTTAGTGAATCAGATCGGAATTAATTTCCCAGCAGATTGCATATGGAATGGACGTTGCCTAAGTTTTCAATTATGACAGCTTTTTTGGCTGTTACAATTGTAGACAAGCGAGTGTTTTCGGTTTTTGTAGTTTCGTAAGTCATTGTAGGTAAACATAACCAAAGTATTCCAAGAATTATGTGTATCAATAAATTTCAATATAGCTCTGATGAAAGTTTTCAATTCTCGGAGAAAATAAACTTGCGTATTCATTATCTCATATAGAAAATATGAAGACAGTCATAACATGGTGTATTTTGTTGCTATAATAACAGCTTAATTATCCCTAGAATTGGGTGGTTGTTGTATTTTTTTTCTTGTGTTAAAGTTCACCACCCTTATTTTTGGTAATTAGCAAATTAAATTTATGTGTCGGAAATGTTTTGTTTGTTTCCTTCTGGTTGTTGTTGTGTGTGCGCGCACGAGTGTAAGCATCTCATGAACATTTGAACAAGAGATTAACATAATTAAACCAAAACTGTATTTGAGAAGCCAATTATGCACATTTTTGTTTCTTCTATCAAAATAATTAACAAAGTGGGTGTAATTAAATGAATTAATCTTGTTTCTTTATATTTTGTATCTGATTTTCAAATTGTTTAGTTTTACATCATGACACTATTATTCTTTTCTTAATGAATTTTCAATCATTAATTTTTTATTTTGTATTAGAAATGATAACTTGCATTAATGAATTTTCACATTTAAATATATGTTTAGCCTAGGCATAGTGATGCATTGACATGTGTTGTCAGTGCCATCAATACAATAGTTGTGTATATGAACGTGATCTGTGTTATTATTTGTAGAGGTATACTTTGTAGGCTTCATATTATTGTAGTCAGTTGATAATACCACAAGAGATTTGGTGCATATAGCAACACATTTTGACACGTAACAGTTTAACAATGGAAAAAATATCGTGCAGATTGAATATAAAATGAAAAATTAGCTCACGCAGTTGGCTATAAATGAATCTCATAATGATTTGAACTAAAAGTATTTCCATGTTTCAACAAATGGTGCCAGTTCAGTAATAAACATACTTTAAAATGATTTGCTATTTTTTACTTTAATTTTGTTTGTGATAATGTTGCTTGGTTTGGAATGATGATATACAATTCTTTAAAGATTCTTAAAGTGCACAGTATTGAATATGATTCACAGCATTTGGAATTTCAACATCATAGCCTTTAGATAATCCTAACTTATATTAATAGGTTAATTTTTTTTAAATTTTTGTTTTTAAATAATTTTTTGGCTGTTCATTATATCGCTTTCTTTAATCTCTTTGTGAAATCAGTTTCTTGAGTTGGTTGATACTAAGGTAGTTGTTACAAGTATTGGCATACTTCCTATGTGGCATGCAAGCAAGCAATCATTAAACAATGTGAAAATAATACTGCTCTTGTGTTCTTTGTTTTTAAATGTATTTGCCTTGAGGGTATAGTTATATCAAACCTGGAGCTCTTGTAGCAGGGTTATGATTCTAATACTGCACAGAATTGAATATACAAGTAACTATCTGGTATTCGTCGAGCAAAATCTTGGGAGGTCTATGACGTATTAGATGGCTTGATATTCTGCATCTGCCAATGGATACTCCGTCTCAAAACTCTTGAAGAAGCAATGACGAGGTCAAATAAATTAGAACAGGAATTACACATGCAGCTCAACAGATGTGACAGGGTCAGAGGTAATTTTCCCCTGTCTGACAATCGTAGTCCCCTTGTCCAATTGGGTTGTTGGACTAAAAAATATTTATTTGCCAATATTGTGATTGTTGCACAAGCCATGAAACCGTGAACCCTACCTGAAATTTTATACCAGGACCCTGACTGAAGCATTAGGATCATTTGTTCACACATCCTGTCGGACTTGCTCAACCCCTGTAGACAAATTTCTGGAAGCACTGTTGTCAAAAGCAACTCTACATGGATGGATTCAGAAAATGTTGAAGGACTGCAAACGCTAGCATGATTTTTAACTACCCAAGCCCAATTCTTTTGTTCAGCAAATTTTCAGATAAGGGAGTATGCATTGCATGACTTTTTGGTTGGGGTATGCGTACCACGTCTGCATAAGCCATAGGCGGATTCAAGGGGGCCCAGCCGGCTCGGCCCCCCTCCCCCTAAATATTTAAAAAATTGTAAAATATTTGGGGGAAAATTTCATTAAAAGCCTCAGAGTGCCATTTCCGGCCATCTAGAGGTGCCATAATCGTAAGTTCCGTACCTCAGCCCCAACCATGGTGGGACTGTGGTGGTATAAACTCCATGGGCCCCCTGTATTTCAAATTCTTGGATCCGTCACTGTAAACACACCACTGCACAGGTGGCATCATCAAGCGAGCTGAGAGCATAAAGTAATTGCTTGCTATTATCAGTATTGATGTCTTTAATGATTCAGTAGAAACTTGCTCTTTAGTGTATCTTCTAACAAATCAAGTAACATCACGATGTTTTTTTTTATTTGTCTCACTTCGACTAGGCCCGATGTTGTCCTGATTGATGGACCCACTATATTATTGGGTGAATTTACAGTTCCGCATATTAATGCAAGAGTCTTAACAATGCGAAAATTAGGAAATAAAATAAATCTATCTCCAACTCATTCAAGAATTAAGGGAACAATTTTCTGAAGTGCGCTACGTCACTCTGGAAATAGGTTCACTTGGTCATTCAATAAGTAACGACATCGAGCCTAACTTCAATATTCTTTGCGGTAAAAATTTTGTCAAAATTAACTCTTGGAGGCATTATGCAAGATCTTTGTAGGACATCCATTCAATGTTCAAAGTACATTTTGCAGTGCAGAAAGTTTGAAACATGGTCTTCTTTTTTCGCCATCACATTCTTATTACTTTCACGGCAGGCTTGTGCACCTATGATCGATGCCCTGCAAGTCTGCATAATGCATCTAAGGAGTACTGTTCTGCAATCTGAGGGTAAATTCAATTCAACATGTGTTCCCCCTTTTTTTTAAATTTATTTATTTGTGTCATTTATTTTTTCAGTGTCTTGCTATGCCCCCTAAGAGCATCGGGGCGTTGTCGATCGTCGCTTATAATGTTTCGAACAATTTAGGGGTTTCAAAGGTTTATTTAATGGATTGTAAAGTCTACTGATACTTACATAATGCATATAATATTTTTTTCTCCCCGAAAAATTGTGGTTTTTTTCCCCGACGAAAAATAAAAACTCCCTCATCAGTTTTTATTCTTTGATAGAGTGATAAACTAATAATTTTTATGGGGCCTAACATATCACTGATATAAAAGGAAGAGACAAAAGCTAAAAAGAAAACAGTCAAACCGTAAAATTGAAACGTTTGAGAGTTTGCACACTCTGTAATGTTTTAGTGCAGGTTATCTTTTGCGGTCAAAAAACAACATTTACTTAATTCAAAAAAACTGACCGACCGAACATATTTTAACTATATGAAAAGAAATGGTATATAAAATACGTTGAAACAATTGAATAAAAAGCTGAGCTAGCAAAATTGAAAAGTAACTAAAGAAATGTTAATACATGCATGTGCAGGTAAATACAAGCAACATAATACAGAACGTGATTTCCGTTTACAAAGAAATGATATCCCGTGACAGTTTGCGAATTTGTGTAATATTAGGTGTAAGATTCATCCGTTCTAAATACAGATGACTGTATGATACACCATCTGTATCATACAGTCTGGATATCTATATGGGCCGTAAAGAGTAAATGGGATCCGTCTGGTTTACTGACTGCAAGTTTAATATCAATACTAACCCTTTAAGATCGGCTAAGATGGGTGGTTATTTTTCTTAATAGGTACTTGTCACCGGAGCACAGTCATCGGTGCAATCGCACCGACCGCCACGCAACTGGCCTGAGGTTTGCAGAGCATGGAAGAGTTAGAGGTTCCCATGTGCGATAGGGCCTAGGGAGGCATTACATCTATAAAGTAAAACAGTTTTACAGGCTTCAAAATATTTGACGAAAAAACTAAGTTTTACAATTAGATACCTGAAAAACACAATCTACTTGTAATTTACATAGATTTAGCCAAACAATAAATGTACCAGTTACCTACAAAATATTTAACACAAGTTGCACATGTGTCCTAATTAGTTTTACAATCAACACGCCGATCAACTTGAAATTATATTTTCAGTTCATCATATTTCCACGCCGAAGTCTCAGTGCATCACCTGATCAGAGAAAGACCAAATGAAAGCTTAGCAAAAATCGTCGAACGGAGATAATGACTTAAAGTATATTCCCTAATTTTACATACAGATAAAAGTCTCTAGGAGTGAAAACTTTACATGTACTGGCTGAGATGAAAGAATAATGATTATTTAGATTCCTAATAAAGGTTATACACAATCATTAATTACTCTAACAAAAATGAAGTTAATGTTATTATTAAGCAGAAAGCAGAAACAAACACCATAATCACGAGTTCTGTGTGAAGTTCTTCTAATCCTTCCCTTTAATCATTAGCTTTTCCCCTTCAGCGGTTGAAAAATAGGTCAACATTCTCCTTAACTTCCCAGTGAGACATTTCGTGTACTTCTCTTTGATCTCCTCCTGTTGTTTTTTCAACCATCTGTCGACGTAATTCTCGTCATTTCCAGACTGTGGAATGCATTCAAAGTCGGTTGTTATTCCAGGTATCATGGCGAAGAACTCCCTACAACCTTGCCTGATCTCCTTTGCTTCATTTTTCATCAGTAAGTAGTGCTGCTTTTTGGCATCCTCCATAGCCATTTCCCCTCTGTTATGAAATGTAGTGAGCTCTTCTTCAACCACTTTGAAAAAACCAGCGATACTCTCCAAACCACCAATGAATTCCGCTAGAGCTGGAATCATGGCCTCACTTATCACAACAACTGCTGCATTATTGACAACGCATTGAGCATTTTTCGCTACCGAATTCACCAAATCATCATCAGCACTCTTGCATAGTAATGGTGTTGCAACTACATTTACAACTGGAACAAAGAAAAGCGCAGCCGCCCAGATACTTTTGGTTTGAGCAGACTCTTCTAGTTCTCTTTTTTTTTTCTCTAATTCCTTCGTCAAGTTCTTCAGTTCGGCAACGAGTACCTTTGCTTCATCCTGTCTCTCCTTCAATGGGGTCATTATCTTCTTGTGCAGTTCGACAATTTCCACACAGCATTGCTGATAACCTTTTACATCCTCCAAGATGTCAGGGAGAATTTCTTTCCAATCCTCAAAACCAAGTGCTTCGTAGTTCTCAAAGAAGTCTTTGAGGTTTCTCACCAGCATGGTAGATGCTGGTAGAACTCCTTTGACATAGACCAAAGCATCTTTCCTGGTGTCGTCTCGTATCTTGTTGATCTTCCTGGTGGTGTCTGACGATCCGCTCAGCGCTGTCTCCGCATAGAGAGATCTCATACAGAGGGAAAACACCCGCATTCTTTTCGGTACGTCCTTCACGGTAACTGCGAGATCATTTAATTGAGTTTCAACAACAGACATCTGTAAGGTAAAGAAGAAAATTAGGAGTTAAATCCTAAAAAGGCAATTTGTGTTGGGGAAATTTCAATTTTACAGTGAACTGTATTGACATATTTCTAAGCGTGTATGTTAACGCACCGAAAGGGGAGCTTAAATAACGCTGCAAGAAAATGAAATGGATTTGTTCATAGTACTCAAATCAATCTCATGAATTGTAGATAGGCACGAGGCGTAAAATGGCTTTGCAAAGTTTTGGAAAGGGGTCGAGAAACCTATACGGGGCCTACATCATTGCAACTTGAGATCTGAATTATTTCGTTTCACTGATGAAACTGCAGAAAGCATAAGCATGAATAAATACAACACAAGACAACAGTATAATCATCGGCTAGGTCGTGACAGTAAGCATGTCTCATGTAATAATAAATAATAAATAATAATAATAATAATAATAATAATAATAATAATAATAATAATAATAATAATAATAATAAATGGATTTATAGAGCGCAAATAAACGAGGTCTCTATCCGCTCGGGACTAGATGTCGCACTTTTCAATAACTTTCTCCTCCCCTGAGGGTCACTTCATGTACTGCAGCCATTAAACCGGCGTAGAAACCGCTTTTTGTCGATAATACACAATGCCTATTGAAAAAAGAAGTGTCAGTTTACCACTTTTAATATTGCTGGTTACAAAATGTAATCATTTTAAGCGGTTATAACTACATGGAAAATTGTATTACATTGTACAATTTTGCTTCCTAATAGTTTGATTTTCAATAAAAAAAAATTATCACTTATCTAACAAACAATTCATGCCTAGAAAATGATATGCCAATGATTACACGTGCATTGAGTGTATCAGCATTGGCTATAATTACTCAATAATTAAGGAAATCTTCGGGAAAGTAAGTACTTTATGGTCACCATGGGCGTCGATCGGTGGGGGACAGGGGACGCCCCCCCTCACTTTTCAAAGTAGGGGGACATCATATCGATTTTCTTCCCCCCCCCCCATTTTTCACCAATCTTCTATAACTAGAAATTGCAAATTGCAAGTGAAGTGCTGCGAAGTAAAACTGCATATAAATGTTCTTCGAACAAAATTATTTATGCGAGTCAAGTGAAAATAATGAACAATAAATATATAACAAATAATATGAGACACGACCCATTGTCTATATTAGAACAGCGTTGGTACCGTGGGATGCCAGTCAATTCGAGCGGATGTCAGTTCGAGCGGATGCCAGTTCGAGCGGATGCATTTAGTGCGAACTATAACAAGGGCGAATTTATCGTCGTCGTATTCTTGTATTTGTTTGTTTTAAATGCAAAAAAATGCTCTGATTACTAAGGTTCTGAAAGGTTTTTAGTACTTTTTGATAATTACTCCATGTTTGAATCACAGTCTTGGCAACTCCGACTACCAAGATGGCCGCTAACAAGTTAAAACTATAATAGAATTGCGCACTTTTCATCTTAAAAAAGAAGAAAGTGTATGTTTTACTAGAGTGCACGAGAAGCACACACACAAGACGAGTGACCATTATTTTTTTCATGGTAAACAAAGTGGGGTGGCTAGCCACCCTATTCACTACCCCTCCCTTCACCTTCACCAGATCCGCCACTGGTTGGGGTTCTGAATTAAAAAAATCAAATTATATTTGTAATTGAGTTATGCTACTCACTTATCTATTCTAGAACTGTTGTGTTGAATCCACCTCTGCTCAAAGCATTCTTTATCCAGAATAGTCATAATCACGAAAAATGGACATGAAAAACCAGATCACATCCTAAAAACAAACAGCAGTCACTAAGACATACATCAGGAGCTGACTTGATGGAGTTTAATGTCATACCCAGGGAAGGGCACAGATCTGTTTTGAAGGGTGGAGGGGGAGAGACCAAAAGGTCCACTGATTAATCTCAAAAGTCCCTCTCTGGGCCCAGCTGTATTTCAAATTACTGGATCCGCCACTTGATATTTTGAAAATTTCGTATGGAAATAAATGTTAATTGCATTGCTTACAATTAAAAAAAAGGCTATATGCGCCAGAGCTTCCGGGGCTTCGCCCCCTGGTCCCCAACCAAGGGCAGCCCAAGGCTTTTTTTTCATTTCGCCTCCCCCCCCCCGACCCACTTTTAATCACGGATCAACGCCCTTGATGGTCACTAATTTGGACAAGGCGATTTCGTGGGAATAATATATTGGTTGGAAACAAAAAGTCTATGTACGCCACTGCCTTGGATACCTCCCCGTATTATTAGGAGCTTCTTTATGTACTGAGTGTAGGGTGGAAATGCCACCCCAATGAACGAGACTTATTTTCAGCCCGTTATAAAAAAACATACTTTTCCAGAGCCGTCGGAACCGGACCGCTTTTTCTCAATTCAAATATTTTAAAATAAATATATACCGATACCCATAAAATGTATGAATTTATTATTAATGTTCGCATCACATTGTCTTTTTTATGTTATAGATTTTAATAAAATTCCACCATGCGCTTCTTTTTGTATTGCCTATGTACATTTGGATTTTTTAATAATCTTACATTTTAGTAATTATTATAGATTTTAAAAATGTTTGGGGGTATAAAATTTAATAACAATTAACTATTTACAATTTTGGGGGTTAAAGTCGACTGAACTGGACACAAATGTATACGGGTCAAGTCGGCCCTGATTACTTGCATTCTAAATGTAAACCACTGAAGTGAAGAACATACATTTGTATAAAGTATCCACATGTCCTATTTCCCGGCAGAGAAGTCATTTTTTCAACCATGGTGGAGCCGAGATGGATCGTATCTAGTCCACTTCTATTAACTTTAAATATTGTGTCTGCCCCATTCATGGGGTTGAAATATGTAGCTACGTTGCAGGTTGCTAGCTGCTATTTCTGGAAATCTGGATATTGTATATTTTTTTTCAAAATGTGTGTACATCAGGAGGCCCACCATGTTGGGGTTAAAGTAAGTATAAATATCTCCACTTAACTTTGGCGTCTAGAGCTGCCATTTTTTTTTCTAAAATTTCCCACCTCAGCCCAACCATGGTGGGGCTGAGTAGGGTATAGTCTCTATTTCCATACTAATTTAAAATATTGTGGCTTCCCCCTTGAGGGAAAGGGTAATGATCCACAGGTTGCCAGCAGGGTCTCTGGGCATCCAGAGGTGCCAAAAAGTAGTTTACCAACATAGTGGGCCAACATGGTGGGAATAAGGTGGGTATGCACTCAAACCCCAATAACTTTAAATCCTGATCAGTGCATAGAAGTAATAGATCTGCAGTTTAGCAGCCACTGCCTTCCGCTCTTATTTGTTATAATGGCCATACCACTTGTAAAATGCTTCAAACTGACATGTGGACCCTTACCACCGAAGCCTTTTGCACACCCGACACAATATAAATAATATGCCTAATCATATTTACACGAGTTGCCGGGTATTGCACTTTTTATTGTAATTTCCTTTACCACTCCCAGCGAGAGCGTGTGTCTACTAGTTTTAATCAGAAAGTCAAAATAATGATTAATCAATAAACCAATTTATCTGAGTCTATTGTATTTAGTTATTTTTTTATCATGCTTACTTTATAAATCTACTCGTAATTCAGTAATGTTTTAATATTACTGCAATTTGTTTTTGATATCAATGCTAATTAGCATCAACATTATATACATGACTATGAAAATAATAATTTAAACAAAAAGCAACCGCTAGTTAATAGCTTAGTATGTCATCAAAACAGCATACAAATCGTTGTAGTCTTGGCAACATAGAATTAAAATATAAGCTGCAAGCGAGAGCGTGTCATAAAATGAATCGCTCGAACTTTTTACTATCAAAGAAAAAAAAAAAACCCACTAGCTTATAGCTTAGTGTAGTAGGCCTATGTCATCAATACAGCATACAAATCGTTGTTGCCTTGGCAACATAGAATTAAAATGTAAGATGCCGGCCATAGCGTGTCATGAAATGAATCGCTCGAACTGGTATCCGCTCGAACTGAATCTGTGGTACCTCGTGCACGATTTGTTTCAAGTGCATATATTACGATTGCCATTGCCAATTTAACTGTTCATATACCATATTGAAGTTGGTGATCATGCCTTTTTTTAATTGTCCAAAATCCAAGTTTAACAATTCCACAGTCTTTTGCCATCCAAATTTTTAACCACTCGACCGTTTGACATCATGGACCAGAGCGGTCCTGTATTCGTGGATATGGGAAGCATGTCCGCAGTTAACAACCCAAATTTATTAAGTACCGCACCCCCCCCCCCCCACGCTTTTGCTGTAAGGCCAAATAAAAAAATATTGTGTTGGCCACACCAGACCGACCCAAAATGTTCGAAATTGTGGGTCGGCATTTTAGTTTTTTTTTTTTTTTTTTACAACGAATTTATTTTTTAATGAGCTAAACATGCTAGAATGGGCCTATCTTGCCAGGGTAGGCGATGCGACAGTGTTATGTGATCGTTATGCGCTTCAATATAGATTAAAAGATTGTTTAATTTTTGTGTATTTTCTACTTTTAAACATAAACAAATTAGGGCCTATTGGTTAAAAAAAATAACTTTTCCTACCGTATTTTTTTTTTTTTTTTTTTTTTTTTTTGGCCTAATGGCTGGACCACTTGCAAAATGCTTCCGACGTCTATGCTTTCTTTGAGAAAAAAATTGTGGCAGCTTTTGGATCATAGGGGAGGTCTCCCTCTAACCAGATATTAATGTGGAAATTTGGGCAATATGCTGATATTTTTTCGGGCACTGCAAGAAAAAACCACAACTGAACTTCAACAATCTTGTTTGAGGAGAATATAGTTCTGTAAACAACTCAGGTAATTAGACTAACGATCTAAGATCGCCCGACTAATACTGGTAGCAATATTATATTTGTAAGCAACTACAATGACCGCATCCCCGTTAGAAGGTCATTTTTTTCGATTTCCAGAGGGTTCTGTTGTCTTTTGATGTAAGTTTTATTTTGATTGGTTTAAAAAAGGGTCTGTCATTTTTACAAATTACCGTATGAAAGGAGGGTGCGAATGGTCAGTTTTTCATAGACGCATTTTACATTGAGCCAGGATAGGCGAGTGCTATGGTTTAGGTGAAACCTGTAAACGTTTTGTCAGAATATCGAACAATTCATTAAAGTATGTCATTAAATATCTGTATCTTGGTGTTTAATAATGATCACAGAAGAATTCTAGTGAAATATTTTTTTCGAAATGTTGCTACTATTACGCCAAAATTTCATGTTTAAAATGTGTTAGTGTCACAGCATCTGTACACCGCTGGCGTTGATTGAGATGGATCGTACCATTTTCTAGACAGGGTAACAGTTTATTAATAACATCAATATGGTCACTATAGCTGTCCGTGTTTGCTGCTGGTAAGATAGTGTTCCTGAGCCTATAGTTCTTTGTACCCCGCAGTATAATGCAATATTCCAAGGATGACTCGTGTGGCTGATAAGGGAATAGGCCTCAGCGCGAAGGATTAAAATTGCATTTTTTGGTTGCAAAATACTCTACATAAGATCGATATGCGGAAGTACTATGCTTCTGCATTGAGTTTCCTGTGTTAAAAACATGATTTACTATACTATACGTCCTTATAAAACATAACTTGTACTTTATAATAAGAGAAATCTGTATATTATCGGTACCTGAAACAGTAGCAGTACGAAATACTTAAAGAAATACTTTCTTTATGTTTCTGCATTGTAATTATGCCTATTTTAATACATTACTTAATAGATATGCTTTTCTTTTTCCATTCTAATTACAGAGGTCAAAAACATTTTTCAATTCATGAAGTGGTGTAGAATAGTCTTTCGAGAACATTTTCCAGATAAAATTAATGTGATACAACCCTCCGTTATGGAGTTATGAATTTTTAGATAACATGAGGACAAGAATTTAGCCTCAAAGCTTATCTTATTTCTGTTGGTTACGCACCCACTGACTTGGGTTGTTTGTTATCACTTCAAGGTGTCTACCGATTCGCCAAAAGGCGTATAGGGTGTCTATAAAACGGAGACCTTTTAAGTATTTCTTGATATTTTTCATTTTATTCCAATGAAATAGGTACTTGGCAACTGTTTTATTATGATTTTGAAATACTTTCAATAAGATAATTGAGAAATAATTTGAGGTCTTCGTTTTTCGGGTCTTCGGTCTCCGTTTTGTAGGACCATAGAGGGTGTCTATAAAACGAAGACTCTTGAAAATTTCAGAGACCCAAAAAATGTAATTTTGATTTTGAGAAAAAATAGGGGTCTTCATTTTATAGACACCCGGACTTACGTCTCTTACTTTCACTTACCTTGATTTTGGCCGTTGCTTAGATTGTGGTAACCAGTATAATGACTTTAAGCGTCGGGTGTGCGAGCAGGACGTTTCAACTTGAGTCGGTTGTTGAAATAAGGTAGATGTTTGGGGTTTCCCATTTAAACGATTCGGAGCAAGCAGTGACTCATTATGCGAATGATGTTCTATTTTTCTAATAACCAATGACATGTCAGAAACACTCCTTTATAACCTCCCATTGAATATCATCAGCAAATACCGGGCTCGGGCTAGCCCGAAATAGAAAATAAAACTTCCTGTCTTTAAAAGTAGGCCTAATTCCAAGAAATTTGATTGTATATTCTTACAACGGTATGAATGCAGTTTACATAGCCTTTCTATGCTCTTAGCAATAGCATCCCTATTAAGCTACGTTCACATCAAGCCCGGATTCCGGTCCGGAGAAAAAAATCGTGAAAAATGGTTCAGTGGTAAATAAGAGGACCGTTCACATCAAATTCGTACGATTTCTAATCCGGACTCCGGATCCGGACCGATGGATCTGAGAGCCATTTGTATCAAAGATAATAAATAGCAGAAGATAGAGCAGCTACTCAATATAGTGGAACATCCGTTTCGGCAGATTTCTGACAAACCTGGGTTAATGACAGATAAACCATGTTTATCGACCGATATGTAGGCCAGAAATCTAAAAAACTTATACTCATTATGTGGCACACAATTTAATGCCACCGAAAGAGTTTTAACTGCATAATGCTACGGTTGCATATCCCCACCCACGGGGTTAATTATTCATGCCTCAGCAAGAAATGCGCGCAAATTTTTAGATTTTTAGGCACTTTTAGGGGGTGAAAATGGCATCTTGATCTTCAAGAGGTGGAAAAAGTTTTTCTACAGAGATGGATATTTTCCCCTTGTCCCCCGGTGGTTACGCCACTGCGGAGAATATCTGGCGGCCGATCAAAGGAGGTATGGACACTTTTTGAAGTGGAGAAGAGGTTGCAGGGTGTTGTGAGTCTAGTCATTATGATATCTTCCTTTTTATTCTTGTCTTTATTTTTCTATTTTTTTTGACTTTTTATTTTCCTTTTCCCCTTCTTTCTCTTTTTGTCCTTCTCCCCTCTTTCTTTTCTCTTATTACCCAGCCCGGTACGACGTCTTGGTCAGCCCGGTAAAACCGTCAGGGGGAAGTCTGCCCCCTCCCCGCCTCCCGCCTGTTACGCCACTGATTGTGCTTAGTTGATGCTTTGATGTTTAATGTGCAGCATTGGCTGCGATTTTGTTGTAAATAAAAGAAACTGCAAGTTCAGAAGGAGCAACTTCTTTGCCTGTTTCAAATGATCGAAATATTTTTTGAGGTCTATCCGATTACATATTCTCAAAAAAATGCTAAGCCTATAAACAATAACCTATTTTTTGTTATTCTTCTGTATCTTTAATATGATGTTTGTGACATTTATTTTGCTTCAGACAAAACCCAAGTGACGTACCAAACTACGGTTATTAGATTAATATGAAATCCTTTATGGTTTCCTTAGTTTAAAGCTGTAATGACGATTATGTATTACAAATCTGGTGACATGAATAGTAAAAAGGTTCAAACCATAGCCCCCTATCCCTAAATACATTAGTAGAATTTCCCATCTGAATAACCTTTCAGGAATTTTCTATTTTTACCAAGAAAAAAAAAACGTTATTAAAGGAGATATCTCGCGTCTCCAAAAGTTGTGAAGAAGCATATTTTCACCCGTTTCAAATGATCCAAATACATATCCGATTACATATCCTCTGTAATTTGCTGTATAAAATAACCTATATTTTAAAATTCTTTTGTATCTTTAATATAATGTTTGTGATATTTGTTTTGCGTCACAGACATACCCCAAGCCGTATAACCAGTGATGCGAATTATATTATGCCAAGAGCTGATGGGAAATTATACTAAATTATGCTAAACGTAAAAATAGCACCCCTCTCGAAAAAGCTCCCCCTCCCATAAAGACAATATTATTTTATTATTTTGACACCTGTCAAATTAAATAATTAAATTATTGCCTATAACCTGGGATCTGTGTAGTTTGTAGACCAGTACTACGTGACATTTCCAATGACGGGTCGTTTAGTACATCAATTTTATACACAAAAATAAATATAAATGTCTACCTCGAACAAACTCCTCAAAAACCCCCGTAAATATAATGGAAACATTATGGCTGATTATGCGAAGTTAGTAAAGCAATCGTAGGTTTATTACACCGAGGGGCGCATAGATCTGTTTTGAAAGGTGAGGGGACAGTCGTGGGAGCACACCTACCTCAACCAGAAAATGGGGCTGGGGCGCGAATAGCACTTCTAGATGGCCGGAAATGACACTGTTATAGTAAAGTTCATCATCCTCATTTATATTAAAAATGAAGCGCCAACAAATTTCTCATGATACGTGGTGGACCTTGGATTTAAAAATAGAGGGGGCAGAGAGGAACGTTTAAATATGGAAGGTCTATACCACCTCAGCTACACCATGGTTGGGGCTGAGGTAGGTGGGACATTTTGAAGACAACTCTATGACCGGAAATCAAGGACTTTTAACTGTTACTAGGATAGGAAGCTGGTTTGTTTAAGCCCTAACTTGAATTAGCCTTATGAGTGGTATTGTTATGCTAATGAGCCAGGTAAGTACAATCTTGTAACTGTCTCTTATACACATCTAGATGTGTATAAGAGACAGCGTTTAAATATGGAAGGTCTATACACCTCAGCTCCTCCATGGTTGGGGCTGAGGTAGGTGGGACATTTTGAGGACAACTCTACGACCGGAAATGACACTCATATAGTAAAATTAAAAATAAAGATCCAAAAAATTTCTCATGATCCGTGGGGATCCAAAATAAAGAGGTACCAGGGAGGGGCCATTAGAGGTGGAAGGTCTTGGTCAAAATTATGCTAAAGAGTATGCTAAATTTGCTGAAATTGACACATATGATAGATGCCAAATGATCACATGACGCATGATAGATGCCAAATGATTTAATATGCCAAATAGCATATTTATGCTATGTCTGGTTGCTATGAACCCAAGTGACCTCTCTCTATGGTGTTTAGATTAATATGAAATCCGGTAAGGTTTTCTAAGCTGTAATGACGATTATGAATCTGGTGAGTAGGAATTTAAAGGCTGCAGGTTAAAAACATATCCCAACAGATGAATTTCCCTTCTCAATAACCTTTCAGGAATTCCCCTTTCGATTTTCACCAAGAAAAAAACGTTATTAAAGGACATATCACGCGTTTCCAAATGTTCAGAAGGAACAAATTGTCGCCCGTTTCAAATGATCTGAATATTGATGTTTGAGGTCTATCCGAGTACATATCCTCTGTAATTTGCTGTAAAAAAATAACCTATTTTTAAAAATTCTTTTGTATCTTTAATATAATGTTTGTGATATTTGTTTTGGGTCACAGACAAACCCCAAATACTTGTCTATACGTTTATTAGATTAATATAAAATCCTGCATGGTTTCCTTAGTTTAAAGCTGTAATGACGATTACGTACTACGAATCTGGTGAGTAATATTGTAAAGGCTGCAGGTTCAAGACATCTCTAAATACAGTATGGTGGAATTTCCCTCTGAATAACCTTTCATGAATTTCCCTTTCGATTTTTACCAAGAAAAACGTTATTAAATGAGATATCTCCTGTCTCAAAAAGTTCAGAAGGAGCAAATTTTCGCCTGTTTTTAATTATCCAAATATTGATGTTTGAGGTCTATCCAATTACATATCCTCTAAAAATGGATGTAAACAATAACCTTTTTTTAAAAAAAATCTTTTGTATCTTTAATATAATGTTTGTGAAATTTGTTTTGCGTCACGGACAAAACCCAAGTGACCTCTATATACGGCTTTAAGCAGAAGACTTTTGGTGATAAGAAATAGGCCTACCTTCCCCCACCATTTCCTAATGATTTAATGTTTGCCGTAAATCAAGGACTGTTACTAGGATAGGAAGCTGGTTTGTTTAAGCCCTAACTTGAATTAGCCTTATGAGTGGTATTGTTATGCTAATGAGCCAGGTAAGTACAATCTGCACATGCGCAGAAAAACAAAACTTTCCTTAGCCACACCACGGAAATATAGTAAAATTAATCGTCATCATGACATAGTAAAAAATAAAGATCCAAAAATTAAAAATAAAAGGGTACAAGGGAGAGGACTTTAGAGGTGGAAGGTCTTGGTCAAAAGCAAGCTAAATGCTAAATTTGCTGAAATTGACACATATGATAGATGCCAAATGATCACATGCACATGACGCATGATAGATGCTAAATGATTTAAATTATGCCAAATAGCATATTTATGCTAGGTCTGCTTACTATGAACCCAAGTGACCTCTTTCAACGGAGAATATGAGGTTTCCTAAGCTGTAATCTTTTGTATCTTTAATATAATGTTTGTGATATTTGTTTTGGGTCACAGACAAACCCCAAATACTTGTCTATACGTTTATTAGATTAATATAAAATCCTGCATGGTTTCCTTAGTTTAAAGCTGTAATGACGATTACGTACTACGAATCTGGTGAGTAATATTGTAAAGGCTGCAGGTTCAAGACATCTCTAAATACAGTATGGTGGAATTTCCCTCTGAATAACCTTTCATTAATTTCCCTTTCGATTTTTACCAAGAAAAACGTTGTTAAAGGAGATATCTCGTGTCTCCAAAAGTTCAGGAGCAAATTTTCGCCTGTTTTTAATGATCCAAATATTGATGTTTGAGAAATAGGCCTACCTTCCCCCACCATTATTCCTAATGATTTAATGTTTGCCGTACACAACAATATTGTCGAAATGGCATAATTATTGCACATTATAAAATCTAGTCATTTTATAAAATCCAACAAATTTCTCAAAAGCGGAGAGGTAACTAACTCACTTCCAGGGGTGGCGCCAGCGGGGAGGGGGGGGGGGGAAAGACCCCCCCGTCGAGGAGAGCTAGGATTAATTGGATCAACTGTCTCCCGTGTTTTTCATATGTCATGTAATGGCCAATTTTTGGTTACTTTTTGATTCATTTAAAAAATCGTTACCCAAAATTTAAAAAAAAATGTTTGTTTTGGTCCATGGTTCCTGT